TTTCATTAAACCCCCACCAATTCACCTCCAATTAATCAATCACCACCTAATTTGTCGACTCTTAATTAATTATGCCTCTTTCCATACCTTCCATACATTCCTCTTTTACTTCACACCCCACTCTCCTACACCTTTCAATATCTAACAAACACCTTCTCTCCTTTCTCACCAGTCACATTCATTCATACCACTCTTCCCATTCATACCATTCATTCCATTCATACCATTCACCATACAGGAAAGAAACAGTTCCTTTAACTTCTTATCTTCGTATCTTCTGTCTTCATTCAGTTCTTTATTCCTATTGTTGCTTAGTTTGTTCTAACTCCTACTGGTTCCTTTCGCCATTCACTGCGTCACACTGCTATCCGTTTGTCTGTGTTATTTAGTAGCAGTCCTTATCAGTAGATGCTCGAAAAGTCGATTGGCAGTCCTTATCAGTAGATGCTCGAAAAGTCGATTGGCAGTCCTTATCAGTAGATGCTCAAAAAGTCGATTGGTAGTCCTTATCAGTAGATGTTCGAAAAGTCGATTGACTCGTCCGTCCGGATCGTGCCTAATCAAATTACCAGCCAACTCGTCTTCTTCACATCCACCACCATGCCGCAGCTGTTGCCATGAAGCTCTCCACAATACCACCACCTCTATTTCCCCTTCTACGCCGACGCCCAAATAAAGCAAGCCACTTACTTCCTCTTTTCTTCAGCCGTCTGCAATCCACTATCTTGGTCTGTGGGTGTTCCCCCGCGCTCCGTATTCCGTATTCTGCAGCCTCTAACTCTTTCTTCTTATCTGGTCTCCTTTGGGGTCTCCAAGCTTCCCGAGCTTCCAGGACACAATTTTTCACGGAAAGTTCAAGCCAGAATCAGGGTAATGTTCTTTGCTGATGCTCGTCCTCGGCTTTCCGGTGCAGCTACGGGTTCCAAGCGTACTTGCACCCGCTTATCTTGACTGGTTGCCTCAGTGAAGGTTCTGGGTCGTAGACGAAACAGCCGCCGCCGCCGTCTGCTCCAAAACTAGCCCACCTTGCACAAGCCTCCCTCCAGGAGGACTTGGAAAGAAATAGTAGCTATTTCTCTCTTTTCCAGCAAGAGTACAGTCGTAGGCACAGAGGAGAACTCTGCGCCGTCCGCTGTCGCCAAAACCGGAACCGGAAGCTCCGAACTTGATTTAGAACTTGCAATTTTTAATGACTTCCAAAGCAGGTACTGTCGGCGCTGCCAAGAACCACCAAGGGCCACTGGACAAAGTTTCATCTGGCCCCCCTATGCCCCGATCCAAAACAAATATCATAACAAAATAAATCACGTGGCTTTCTACTACTGTGAATAGAGTAATAATTGTTCACTAAATAGAAACATTATTATGAAATATATTATGAAATAATAAATTTTGCTTCATATCATTCAGTAGTTTATAAACCTCTCTCCCTCTCTCTCTCCCTCTCCCTCTTTTGTCTCTATGTAAGCATTCATAATTGTGGGAAATAAGCAGGGTCAGCTTTCCTCGCCTCTTTTCAGCCAAACTGTTCCTGCCCAAAATGCCCTTCTCTTCTATTTATTAAAGATTGTGAAAACTCCCCTGATCTCTTTGTATCAGCGCTGAGAATTCTCTGTATCATCAACTCCGTTTGCACAGCATGTGACTCTCAATATTTCTCTCTTTGGCCTTGTGTCTAATTTTATATTCACATACACATATATATGCCTACAAATATATGATACCCTAGTAGAAGTTAGTACAAGTAGAACTTCTCCTAACTTTTGCTTAACATCTCAGACTTCACATGGGCTTCAACTGTCTAAAACAAGATGTATTTTAAAACCACAAATCATAGTCACGTATTTAAGCTTGTTTGCTTTGATATAAATTGAAATGAAGGCATCCATTATTACACATTTATAACCTCTAATACAGATTAATACAAACCACAATACATGTAAAGTGTGTGTGTGTGTGTTACGATTGCCAAGTCTGAAGTGGCGCTGGAGCGGGGGACTCCAGCGCTGCTCCAGGAGTGTGCGCGCGTGCCGCAACCACATCACCCGGAAGTGACGTGACTACGCCAGGCACGCTGGGGGCGGGGCCACGACCATCCGAGGGGGAACCATAGAGTTTTCCCTCAGATGACTGTGGCCCCGCCCCCAACGCACCCGACGCGATTGCATCACCTCCGGGCGACGTGCACGTCGCGTGCTTTGGGGGTGGGGTTCCCCCGGGGCCCGATCCGCCGGTGGTGGGTAACGGGCCTCTGGGACGGGGGTTTCCCCGCCCCCCCCGGGGGGACTTGGCAAGCCTAGTGTGTGTTTGTGTGTCTGTCTGTCTGAAGTGGGGAAAATCAGCTTTTTTTTCAGGGGGAATGCACTGGAATTAATTTCCAGAACCTCTTCAACAAAATTCTTTTTCAAATGCTTAAATGTTCATGAGTTTTTAGTATACAGATTGAAAACTTCATTTCCCTCTTGAGAGAAAGCCCTAGGGGGATTCACTCTCTCACTAGTTTGATAGATTCTTGGAGAATATTAAGTTGACACCCCCACCTTCTAGTCATAATATGAACATACTATTATGTATGTTTTAACTCCCCAGACAGGGAAGGGATGAGAAGGAAGGAGGTATGTGTGGGGGGGGACAAACAAAGAAGAATTATATGGTGGATGAGGAGAGAAATGAAGGCATACCAGATTGTTGATGGGCTTAGGAACAACTCTTGATAGAAAAGTGTTTTCCTTAACCTTGTAGTTTAAAATGTTTGCAGGCACGGAAAGCTTAAAAAGGGCAGCAAACAGCACCATCCAGGAAGTTTGAGCGTCTGTCTGTTTGCTCTGCTCTGTCTTTCCTGTTTCCCTGCAATGCAGAACTCCACTAAAAGTAAAACAAATACATCTGGATGATTCCAGTGTCACTGGGCCCTCAAGCTGACTTAGGCCCTAGGAATTTTTGAATCCCCAGTCCTTGCCGTCAGTGACCCTGGGCACTGTAACAAATTGCAGTTTCTTCTTTGCTGGTTTGTAGGTAAGAAATAAACCATAATTTGTTGAAGTGTCTGATTCAGATGTAATTTCAAATTACAGTTAGTTCTAAATCAGAAAATGTTTGATCTTGGCTTGCCATAGAATGGAAGGAGTAAGGGACTTTCTAGATTGTTCTCATAATCACAACATAGCTTTGTTTGTCTTCATCATGCTAAACATGTATGTATCTCCTTTCATGTGAATGTTAGTCACACAGGCAGAATGAAACCTAGGAACGCTGCTACTGCTTTCTTGAAGATCTAAGAAAGTAACCTTCCCAGCCTTAAGCTTTTCAAGGCAAGAAGTAATTGGAGCTCTGGAGAAAGAACAGGTCCTTAGGTCCTTGTTTTTAGAGCTGCCAGAAGCATCTGGATACACACACAGAGGGCTGTTCTGCCAGGAGGGGATATGGCAGTGTTCCCTCTAAACTGAGTTAGTGTGAGCTAGCTCACAGCTTTTTAGCTTCCAGCTCACATATTTTTGTCTTCACTCAGGAAGGATGGCTTCAGAGCAAGCTAATTTATACAGCAGCCAAATTGCTCGCTCACCACTTTAATGCCAGTAGCTCACAAAGTAGAATTTTTGCTCACAGGACTCCACAGCTTAGAGGGAGCAGGGGACTGGGATATGAGCAACTAAGAATGAAGAGAGAATACCTGTTACTGCTCAGTGAACTGGCTTGACATGGTTTTGCATTCATTCCCAGTCACATTTTGTGTTGCTTTCAGCCAGGTATAAATAAGGGCTAAAATACATGATACATTTGATATTTGTTGGGTGGGTCATGGTGTGTAATCAGACTCACATTCAGATGTACATTGGGGGAACTTAAATTAAACAGTACTCATTTGTTTGACACTGTGAGGGACTGCTGTGGGGGAAGGAGGAGGAAGAGCTTCGATTTTCTCCCCTGCCCTGTTTTTGGCAGTGGCAAAAATAGTGTGTGTGTGTGGGGGAAACCCAAAGCTCCTCCTCCCCCCTTGCAGTACTGAGTGAATGTGTGCTGTTTCCTCCCTTTCCAAATTACCTCCATGCACTAGATTCTCAGGACCCAAATACTTATTGAGCAGTGCCAGAGAGGCAGAAAGTTGAGGTTTTGAAAAGAACAGCTGGAAATCATTTCTCACGTCTGCCAAATCTGCCAGGCATTTTATGAACCAAAAAATAAAAATCTCTTTTGACAGTTTGCAATAACCTGGATGTTTGTGGATGTGGATTTTGAAAATGTGATATTTGTAACCTAATCCCGTTCTTTAAATTTGTTATTCTGTGACTGGAAACTTATTTCTGTAACAGTATTCCAAGTGTATATCAATATGCTTATTGTAATGCTGTACTGTAATGCTAATACAGCTATTTCTATGTTAGTGTGTACAAACAAGTATTCACTGTTTGAAAGCTCACACAACTGAGCTATTATATTTCAACTAATCCCTTTTAAGGTTATTCTAACTTTATGACTGTACCAAGGCACATCCATTCTCAGAGGCTGCTGTATCCAGATATTTCCAATCCAAAAAACCCTGTTTAGTTCTGGTTTGGAAATACCTAAAGCAAAACTAAGCAGGAAATGTTGAGTTCTGGTTTGAAGACAAACCCCTAGACCACAGACCTTTTACTTGCATGTGTTATGAAAGCAGACACACTCTAATGACACTCTTCATTTAGAATAGGATAGTCAAGATGATTCAGTGCACTTTTCAGGTGAAGATAATTATATTGAGTTCTACTCCTTGGGATTCAGATGTTATTCCAAGAGCAAGAGGTCAGCACTGTTGTCATGTGATGGTAGAGGCAATTAAATTGTAAGCACATTTATGAGGAAGAGAACACGGCTAAGACAAGAGATGTCCCAGATGTCAAGGCAATAGTAGGACCTGTTTAGGTAATTATGTAGCATACTTATGAGTCACCTTTTACTGGGTGGTTTGTTTATATGGCCCACAATGAGTAGAAAATGCAAAAACTTTAGCAAGCTGTACTTACAGGGCTTCGACTCACACAGTCATGTTTTCTTATAGTTGTTCTTACTGTGACTTTTTGACAGATCCTTTCATCCCTTTTGCCTGATAAAATATAAAATAAAGCTGACTTATTCATGTATTCATTCGTATATTTTTTGCCAAGTATAAAGATAATATTCAAAATAAAATTAACTCACTGTACGCATGTGCTATGAATCCTTTTAGGACCATGCCAGTACTCTGGAATATGCCCAAGTATGTTACGGGTATCTTGCTTTTCCAAGGGAATTTCTGGAACACCTCTGAGCATAAGAAGTACAGATGTCCCCCCCCCCCCCCCCCCCCCCCCCCTTTATAGCTTCTTATACTCAGAGGTTGTTCTAGAAGTTCTGTTGATTTTTAGGAATATCCTGTCAGGCCAAATGACAAGTAGGGAGCTTGAGAGATCCATTTGCAAATGTACATCTTACAAAGTAACCTTTGGATTAGAGTCTCAGGAGTACAGCTGTACTTATTTCAATTTCTTTAGTAAAATTGTTCAGCAATAGTTTGGGATGCAGCAATTTTTCCAATATTATTCTATGTGGGCATGGAGAAATAGTTCATTTTTTTTTTTTAAAAAAAATGGTTTTAATCAGCTAATACTCCCATATTTACTGGACATATAAAGAAAACAAGAAATATTACTATTATTAGTTAATATTTAATGTTTTAAGTTGGTACATTCAGTTATTGAATTCCATTATTAAAATCAAGAATCAAAGAGAGGAGAATGATGTAAGTAACTTTGGGGACCAAAGGTAAGGTATAAATGAACTAAATAAAATTAATGACAAAAGCAGGTTACATTTCAATATTCATTCAGAAATATAATAAATTCTACTAAATAAAATCTTAAATGGATTGAATATAGCTTAATAAGTTCCAGTTCACATTTAACATCAATGACTAGGTTTTACAATGGAATGCAGCATATGGCCTTGTGTTTGCACAAATGTGCATGCACATACTTGCATAACTTCCATGTCTATAACCTTCAGTGTGAAGAAGCCCATGCCTACTCAAGCAGGTTTACCTCATGTGACCTGTCTACAACTTTTGCAGCAAACAGACTGCTAGAAGTGTCATTTTATATTGGCCTCAATTCATACTGAAGGTTCTACATATGGTGGGGGAGTCCATTTAAACTAAGTCAATTTAATCTAAAGCCTACATGGTGGGGCTAAGAGCCTGACTTAAAAAGATAACCTAGCAGACACATGATCTCATAATGTTTCTCTCATTTTCTGTTTTTTGTTCTGACGATAATTGCTGGTGGTAGAAATTCAACAAATGTATGCAAAGACACATACAAAAATCTACTTTATTCTAGAACCTAGGGTGCATAATTTGTACCTTATAACACTATCTGACAGATAAATACAACTAATAGACATAGAAACCATATAACAAAAAATAACTGAATTGAAGCAAAAGCATGAACTTCACATGTAGTGACTGAAGCAGACATAAATTTATGTGCTATGCAAAATATAGCTAAGATACAACTGATACTGCAATCCTAGTCGAAATAACTTTTCTCCATTGCCTTTTAAAACAGTCTGCTGCTTCACTGAAAAACCACATCCCTGCAATCCCTGGGCAGGAAAGACATTTTACTTTATCAGATCAGAAAGAAAACTGTAAGGCACCAGCTTTGCTTATATTCCACTGAGTCTTATTAATGAATTTTTAGAATATATTACAAAGAATTAGATGCAAGTGAAAGCATGCTATGCATTACCTTCATTCAGTACCATAGTTACTGGTACATATTAAGCACACATTTGTACTACTAAATTGCCAAAATAAACTTTAATATAAACTAACCAGAAGAGATTTTGGCTTCTTTAAACCCCTTTTTCTTACTTTGTTAAGTGAACACATTACCCCATGTACTTTCTCAGGTCTAGATAACACACACACAAAGAATGAGTGTACCTTTTTGTAGATACAAACCAATCCAATAAGGCAATTTGCATATATTAATCTGTTTCTCTGTACAGATAATCCTTACTGGATTAAGGCAATTCTGTTTTAAAGTAACTGAAATATTTCTGAATGCCTACATGGAACTGGTTTCTATGGATAAATGCAATGTATGAAATGGTAGCAGTGGCTAGGCAGTTGGTGCTTCAAGAAGTAACAGGTTATCTCTCCTCAGTGATGACCAATGGAGAGGAGTCTCTAATGTCGTAACCAGTAAATGTCACAAAACAGAGGTGATATCTGGATCAGTACTATGCATGGACTCCATTATGTTTTGGCTGGACTCATGCTTGGCTGTGCACCTGCATGATCTGTCCTAACTATCTTCTGCCTCCACCACCATTTCATGACATCCATGGGGAAGAGCATCTGGGTCGGTCCCTCCCCCAAAAGTTACCACTCACAAGAACCAGCCACTTACTGCCTATTGCATCATTACACCAGATACCTTTGTGCTCTTAAACTAGGAAAGGAAAAAATGCTCTAAAAATTATTTGTCTGAGCACTTGGATTCTAAAAAGTATTGGTCTTCTTCCAAGAAACCACTAAATATATGCTTGATGTCAACTAGCCACTCTGAAGACCATCAGCAGTATTATTTATACCCCTATTATTAACAGAAAGTCACAACTGTGTATGGACATCTCTATCAAGAATACTAACATTTTAAAGTGTTTTTTTTAAAGGAAGGAAAGAAAATACATTATTAAAAATCATAATACCTGGTTCACAATTAATATTATCAGTAGAGACTACGGGGCTAATGGCAAAGGGTAATACACCCCGTCCAGAACCTGGCAGAATTATTGGGAACATAAGTTTCTTGTAATAAAATAACATTTTACGTAAATGACATTGTATTAATTCTTACACTGCCAACTGCAATTGTCCTTGCTTGTGAAGAGGAATGAGATCTTCCTGTTGTTCTAAATTACTGGTAATCCTATGCTTTAATGCTCCCCTGAATAACAAGTCTACAATGTTTACAAGAGTTTTTTAAAAAAAATATATCTATGGGCATCTTATGACTCTGGCAAGGTAAGAATTAAATATATGAACTTGCTTAGCATGCATTTAATCATTCTCCTTTTAAAATAGAGATTATTGGTGCCCATTAAAACCCAAGGAGTTGCAAGCTATACTTGTAGCTGACTTCTGCTTTACCATACAGCACATGCTTTTAGTTTTTTTAAAAACAAGAACATTCTCTATTAGCATGTAAGAGAGCATTTGGGTTATGTTTTTCTTAGAAGCCATCTCAGCAAACGGTTCTGAAGTATAACAGTGTCTTTCCCTTGAAACTACTGAATACTGTGAAAACTATCCATTGACTGAGGAAATCTTCATCTAAATTAGAAGAAAATATGGCTTAATTGAGAAACTAAGCTTTAACCATTCATTATTTAATTAATTAAATTATTAAGTCGTTTTCTTCATGTCTTTCTGTCTCTGTTTTTTGCCATGATTTATAAAGGCTTCATACCAGACACCCTGACCCCAAACTGGTAGGAAAGAATAATGTAAACACATAAAGAAATACATGGCTTCAAGCTGTATTATGTTTTCAAAGCAAAGGGTGAATGCATATTGCGCTATGTGCATCTCTAGAGTTACTCTTTGCAGCACAATATAGAACTGTATTCATGTTCTTCCCTCAGATATTATTAACTATTTAACTAGACTTTTTTCCAGAAACCTACATTTTTTTGTCTACAAAGTATAATTCCTCCATACAATGTAAAAATGTTGAATAATCCAGACTGATTGGAAATATATGTTGCCTGTTCAGACAGAATCAGAATGTTTGATAGATTTTTAGCCTTCTCACCTAAAATAACTAGAGTACCTCATTGTGAGAAATCACCCTATAGTGGCCCAAATCCCATTTGCTACCAAGATTCTGAGAAGTGTAGGCAGCTGGGAAACACATCTTAGGATGGAACTTTTAAGAGGCCACATGTGGAATATCCTTCACTATGAGTGTTACCTGTGAGTCCTAATTCACAGTACGGAGACCTTTCAATTCTAGTCAATTTATTTTATAATGGAATAACTGAAAAACTTTAATATGCCATATAATCATATTTAATGAGTATGCACTCATACTTCCACATTACAAATATATGATTTCTTAAAAGTGCAAGCATTGCTTTCTTTAGAACTGCCACTTTTCTCTCTTAATAATTAGCTCACTGAAATATCTTGTTATTCTTCGAAAAGGTTAGGTTTAAAATGATGGGGAGAACCTTATCCCTATAAAACCCATGACAGAAGATCCTAAACTCAACTGTCACACTAATTGCTTTCAGTAGAGGCTCCAAATCAAATTTGAAGCAGCATATCTTGAACGTTTTCTTTCAATGTATGTACACATATGGTTCTGGTAATAAAAGACCATAAAAACAAAATTACTTTTAGTCATCTCCGCATTGCATTTGGAGGGATTTGGTTATACTCCAGAAGGAAAAAAAGATTTAAAAATCACCATGTGAGCAGCCATATAAAGTAAGACTCATCAATGACTTTTGTTAACTATATATTTTTACATGATTTGGGGACAGCATGCTTTTTCTTTCCTTATGTCCCATAAAAGGAGTTGTAAAACACACAGCTATCCAGAACCAAAGCCAAACTAGCATACAACTAGCAGTGAATGCAGCTTTCTTCACTTACAGGTCTTGCAGCAGCCATCGTTATATGTCTGTACAGTGCCTCCATTCTAGGAAGATAAAAAGGAAATATTTCAAAAAAGACTGTGCCCAAAGAAACATAGTGATATCTGCAAATGACAGACGCCTCCCTGCCCAAAAGACAAAAAGACAAACCCAGCCAGGGCACTTCCCCACCCCATGTTTCTCATAGGGATGGCCACCACATGATACAGCTGGGAGCTTTGAGGGCAGGGGAAGGGCAGGAAGTGGTGTTCGGCTACATGCTAATGTCAAGTCCAGGCAAAAATCTGGACATGATGTAAGTACATCAGTCAGCACTCTAGAAACCAGTTTTCACCCAGACATGTTGTTGGCAGATACCCTACATCATTTCTGTCACCACCCACAACTGTTCTCACTGGCTCCAGAGGTGAGAGTGGGTAGGAAGGCCAAGTGGTTAGAGAGCACAGACGCAAAGCGGGCACGCAGCATCCCTAAGCTTTGATAATAAGTTTACACCATAATAGAATCTAGTCCACACCTCAATACAGATGTAAAATGTAATACAAAACAGTTTTCCTATCCCTAGAATACTGATGAAAACTCATTCGGCATGGTATTATGTGTAGCATTAGACAGCAGTGTCTACCACTTAAAATGGAACCCATGGCTCCGAAGAAGTACAAGTTTAAAAGCTGGATACCAGTCTATACCAGAAGCCCCCAAACTTTTTCAGCCTGGAGACACCTTTGGAATTCTATTCTAGCACAGGGTGGTGAGTGAACTACAAAATGGCTACCACAGGAGGTGGAGTCAACCACAAAATGGCTGCCACAGGAGGCAGAGCCAATCACAAAATGAACAATTCTAATAGTAATTTTTCAACATTTTAGGCATTTTAGAAGCTGTTTTACAGGATGCCTTTTTAAATGAACATATTGTTTTAAAATATTTTCTTGCATACACATAACTAACCTTCAGTCATATAATGAAGATCCTTGTGCTGTGGTGGCAGCTGCTGCCAAAACAACTTTTAAAAAACCAGCACAGCCAATCAGATCTCCAACTGCTGACCAAAAGCCCACCTGGCTCCACCCACCATGACACCCAAGGGCACCACACTGAGAATCCTTAGTCTATAGTGCCATATGAAACACTATTTTGAAAGCTTCTCAATAATAGTGCAATAATTTTGCTAAATGGGTCTAAGCTTTCCCCCGTGATACATTTCTAGTGTGAGGTCAACCAAAGAGGATGGTATGTTGGTTCATATTGTTCTTCATCTCCCAAAAAGTTGGGAAGAATTATCTGAATCAGGTCTCTGTGCAGTTGGGTTGCCACTCCCTTCCTCAAGCTATTAACACACACTCAAAGCTGTTTTATACTGAATCAGACCACCAGTCCATCAAGGTTAGTATTGTCTCCTCAGACTGGCAGTGGCTCCCCTAGGGCTGCCAATTCCCCCCGGGGGGCGGAGCCACCCCAGAGTCCCCCGCCGGCGAGGTAAGTCGATTTGGCAACCCTAGGCTCCCCAGGATCTTAGGCTGAGGTCCTTCACATCACCTGTTCCTGATCCTTTTAACTGGAAGTGCTGGGGATTGAGCATGAGGCCCTGGGCACTCCAAACAGATTCCCTTTCACTGAGCCATGGCCCCTCCATATTACAGCATTATCCCAGCAGAAGGCTTAAAAGTGGTTTGCTTTGCATAGCTGCAATGAGAGAAACGCAAGCCCACAGAACACATGGATTAATTATGTGTTTTTTAGCTTCTGGCCTTTGCCTGGTATAAGGTACTGCCCAAAGCAAACTTGAATATTATAAACAAAATTATTAGAATTATTCAACAAAGTATATTTATATGTTAGTAAGCAATTTTGTGATATGCTTTATATGCTGAGTTAGGCCCTTACCTCAGTTCAAAGCCAATAGCACTCACCCTGTTAACGCAAAGCTGGACTGAAAGATATTTATACTTCCATAAAAATGGTGCATGTGTGAGCATATATTTTGGTTGAACCACATCTTCACGATTCATTGGATGGTTTCATATAGATAGTCAATTAATAGTAGGGGGGCTCACCCAATTCCTCTCTGCACTGCACTATGTTGTGTCCCCCCCACCCATATGGCTTTTGACTGTGGGAGTCCTCTGGCAATACCTTTTCATAGGTCAGAGAAACCAAGTGAAGAAAGGGAAAGATCTGAAGAGCATCCACATCTATCTATATATCTAGTGTATTTTTATCCCACTCTTCCTCCAAGGAGCTTAGTACATCATACGTGACTTTCCTCTTCCCATCTGTGGGATGTAACCAGTAGCTTAAGAAGCTGCTTCAACAGTATGTCACAACTTCAGTTCAGAGCGATTTTGTTACAAATCTAATAATAGCCCCTTGGTTGGTATTTAAAGAAATGCCCTATCATTTTTAATGATGAAATCTGACCAATAATGAGACCTTACCAATTCTGACAACTGTGCGCTTGTATAGTTTTATATTGAATCCTATATCATTGATTTTGATCCACCGATATATTCTACCTTACCATGCATTTATGTGCACATGGATATGCTTCTTTTAAAGTGAATGGAGCAGACTATGAGAACAAGAGGTCCTTTGGTGAACCGGCAAGTACATGGGATCTAGCTCTTTTTTGTAAGGACCATAGATGAGATACTGGAGATTCAATGCTGGGGGAGCTGTGTTAATACTTTACTTCTGTACCCTTTTCAGTATAAATTGATAGCCAGCATGGTGTAGTGGTTGGGGCTAGGATCTGGGACACCCAGGTTCATATCCCCACTGTGCCATGGAAACTTGCTGGGAGACCATGGGCAACTCACACACTATTAGCCTAACCTAAGGAGAAAGGTGGGGTATAAATGAACTAATTAAATGTTAAATTGTCCTATATGTTAGGGCAAATGGGCCCCATTCACATCAGGGTTTTGAAAGAGGGTGGACAGAAATAAACTTTTTAAATAGTCAAATAGTATGTGGGTGTACAGGTATTTGTAGACATTTAAAAAGACAAATCTGGCTTTTCAGTGCCTTATCTCATTTATGCACGTTTAAGATTTTTATCTTATTCAAGGTATTTAATAATATCTACATATATGAAGTCTAAGAGATTTTGACTAAGTTTTCACAAGTTTGAGCAAGTCAGCAAAACGATAACCATACTCACATTACACACCTAAAAGTAGATGCCAAAATCCCAAATTAAAAAGTTTCTCAAAATCATATATAATATTATTTATATATCGTGTCTAGAAAACAGACCTTTGTACACTCAGTCTCATTAAAAGGTGGGCAAACAACACTGGATCCAAGAATTACTGCACCTACAGCAGTCTTTGCACATTCATATTTAGTGCAGTTTGAGTCCCAGGTGGCTCCTTCCTAAAATATAAAAAGTAATTGTTAAATCTTTCTCTTTAAAAATACTGGTAACTTATTTTCAGAGTGGAATTTAATGGACACTGAATTCTGCTAACTACTATAATTGTTTTCTGAAATAACTATTTTAACAATTTGATTGTACCACTTAGCCTCATAGTTTACAAGAGGGACAAGTTCCTCATACGGGAGCCTGGTAGTGCCCTAGCAGTGGTGGAGGCAAGATCTGTGAGTTGGGAAGGGGGACAATAGTGTACCCAGCAGAGTGGCTGGTACACAGCCTCAACACTATTTACATGCAGAAAATTAAAACAAAAGAAGTATCCTTCTTAACAGACTATAAAGGCCTTCACTGCTTCTTCAGTGTAGAATACAAAGTGTAGAATACAAAAGTTCAGAGGTCATAAGATTTTTACCTGTAGGCAGGGGTCATTTCGTAGAAAAAGAGCTAGGGGAACTCATTAGCATAACTCATTAGCGTATGCCACACCCCCTGACATCACCGGAAATGTGTCATAAGGCCACACACCCTGCCCCCAATGGTCCCGGCCACCACTGCCGGCCTTGCAGCTCCACTGCCGAGCCCCATGAGGGGCCCGGCGGTGGACCTGCAAGGCCGGCGGGAGTGCAAGGAAGCCCCGTGAAGACCCTCCCTGGCCCCAGGCAGGCAGGGGTGGGGAGAGGCAGGGAGGAAGCAACTTACCCTCCCTCTTCTCCTGCCTCCTCCTGGCTGAATGAGGGCCGAAAGTGGGGCGGCCGGAAGCAGGGGGCGGGGCTTTGTCGTGTGCCCCGCCCCCTCGTACCTCACCCGGGGGAACTGCGTTCCCCCGCGTTCCCCCCCGAAATGACCTCTGCCTGTAGGCAAAATGAACGTGCATATTAAAGGTTTACATTTTGAAAAAGCATCTGCTGAATGTATGAATTAAGTTATACAGAATTTATCTATGATCTGGTTCATATCTTTAGAGAACCAAATTCTCCCCCTAAAGGAGAAGGTTCATAGATTTGGGGTGCTGCTGTTCCCCCCCCCACCACCACCAAATTGATCTGTGGTAGGCAATTGGGTACAGCAGCAGGAGACTGCCCCCCGACACCTGACAACCCTATGTATGTTCCAGTACAGTAGCTGTATTGGCTAGTGAGTCAGCTATGACCCTTTATGGGCAAAAAAGATCTTGCCACTGTGGTGCACACCCTGGTAGCATCTAGAGTAGACTACTGCAATGCTTTCTGTATGGGTATTCAACAGCTACAATTTGTACAGAATGCCATGACCAGAACATTTACTGGAACAGGCAATAGACACCATATAACTCTAGTCTTGTTCCGCTTACACTTGTTCCCAATTTGCTTCTGGGCCCCATTCATGGTGCTGGTATTGATCATTAAAGCCCTATATGGCTTGGAGCCAACATACCTTAAGGACAAGGGATAGGCACGAACCGGATGACGAACCAAAGTTCATCATGAGTTTTGGCCCGTTCAGGGTTTGTGAATCAGAGTTCGTGAACTGAAGAACCGGGATGAACTACCACAAATTCTGGCACAATTCATGGTGGTTTGTAATGGTTCATGAAGAGAAACAGTTGAGAGAAACAGAAATGGGCTGGGAGCTGGGAGCCACTTGGCTGTTTGGTTTAAATGGCTCAGAGCCATTTAAACCCTGCTTTCAGCTTCCCGTGACTTTTTGTGGGCGCAGAAGGCAGCGTATAAATGACTCAGAGCCATTTAAACCACCACAGCTTTCTGCTCCCTGTGGCTAGCTGCCAGGAGCAGAAACCAGGGGTTTAAATGGCCCTACTTTCTGCTTCCCATGAAAAGCTGCAGGAAGCAGAAAGGAGGGTTTAAATGGGAGGGGTGAAGTGCCTACCCGGGGGCAGTTCACCCCCACCTTCCCAGGAGATCCCTCTCCTTTCTGCTGGCTGCAGCTCACCACAGCCAGGAGAAAAATGGAAGGGAAGTTCCTTCCTAGGGCATCTCCCCCCCCCCTTTCTGCTGGCTGCAGTTTTTCCTGCTGTTTGCAGTCCCTTTAAACTTTAAAGTTTAAAACACAAACTTTAAAGGGACTGCACAAGACAGCCTGAAACAGCTGAGCAGCAAGGAGCAAGCTGCTCCCTGCTGCTCACCTGTTTTTTTAGCTTTATGCAAACCCCATTGAAAGGACCATGGTCCCTTTCAACAGGGTTTGCAGAGCCACAAGTCACACAAACCAGTTCAGTTCATAACTAAGCCTCTCAGTTCGATTCAGGGTTTGGTTCGTGATTCAGCCACAAACTGCACTGCATTTTCCCAGTTCATGCTCATCCCATCCCTATTAAGGACTGCCTACTTCCATATGAACCCAACCACTTTGCTCATCCTCAGAGGTCCTGCTTTGGGTGCCCCTGCCATCTGAGGTTAGACAGGGGGTGCCAAAACTCTGGAATTCCCTTCCCAGGTAGATTTGGCTGTCTTTTTTTTTTGTTATGTTTCACATTCCCTCATCTTGACCTGGATAGTCCAGGCTAGCCTGATCAGATCTCGGAAGCTAAATAGGGTTGGCCCTGTTAAGTATTTGAATGGGAGACCTCCAAGGAATATCAGGGTCATGTTGTGGAGGCAGGCAATAGCAAACCACCTCTGAACATCTCTCTGAATGAAAAATGGACAAGGAGGTCATTCAAATTAATGGCTTGATTGTGATAATGTCAGTTTGTATACAAGTACTTTGAAGTTCAGTGTGACTCCCATGATGGCAGTCTCATGTTTGAACCAAGAGTAGAGTAGAAATATGAAAAATAACGTACAGAATTCTATACCATGAGGATTATGTAGTCAGAATATTATTTTCTACAGCTTTTCCAGAGGGACTTACCTCATATATGACTAGGGTTCCATCCTCACTGTAGAAAGTACATGACACATTAATGCAGGACCCACAGCAAGAGTGCTGACTCAGTGAAGGAACGTATACTTGATGCTATTAAAAAGAGACAAATGTATTGTTCATTTTTTCCAAATGCATACTTTTTTCCAAATACTAATTATAATCCAGTGCTGAATTTGCATTCAAAGGTTCTGATACAAAAATATTAATAATGTGATTTTCTGTGTGATTCCTTGGCACAATTAGGATTGAGTCCAGTAGCCACTCAAGAGACTGCCAAGATTTTCAGGGTATAAGCTTTTGAGAGTCAAAGCTCCCCAGGGAATTACAGCTTATCTACATTAACGTCAGCCACAATGGAAAATGGCAGCTACAGAACTAATGACACAGAATGAGTGCATTGATCCAAATCAGTTTTGCGGCTACATTTTCCAGATATATATGTCAATGTCAAAATGTTATACAGATTCACATAATTTTTACAGAGTTTTATTGTAAATCCTTGACTCTGTTCTCTAATACCTATTTAGCGATCTATGAAATAAAATACAGCGTCTGTTCTCTAGTTTGCCTACAGTTTTCTGAGTGGATTTTAGAACAAACTTCATCCTGTATTATATACACAAACAACTCTATCCCTACGTTTTGGAAATACTTACAGCTTCACATTTTTGGGAACAGTTGATTACTGTCAGATCCATGGCATGAAATCCTGTCCTGGGATCTCTGTCCAGAGAACATTTTACTGTGTAACAAAGATCTCCATCCAGATATTGAATCATAGACTGACCCGGATTCAGAACTGTTACTTCTTGGAATACACAGACATTATCCTTTTCTAATGAAAAATAAGCAAGCAGAATAGTGTCAAAATGCTGCAAATAGAAATGTTACAAATGAAACAAAATATAAACGGATAGAAGCTCTGTGGGCTGGAGCCTATGTCTGTACCAAATTCACACAGCAGGATCTTCCCGACCTCCCCCTTCTCTCAACATCTTCTGCAGCAGACTCCAAAAAACCTCTGCTGAGGGTTGGGAGACCCTCAGAAGCAAAGTGTCACTTTGCTGTAGTGTAGGAAATAAGCAAGTCATTCTTCCTTTCTCTTGCATGAATACAATAAGCCTTGAGTCAATATTGCGCCACACACACAAAAGCAAGAGAGTGTAATTTTGCCCAGCCCCACCGTTCCTTACTGCAGTCTCCATTGCTGTGTGGCACTTTGTTCAGTAAGGTCCCCCATCCCTCAGCAGAGAAATGTGTATGGGAGGGGGTACTGGGGAAACTTTCTATTGCTAATACTCCTTCCAATCTCATAATTGTAGGAGCCAAGCAACTGTATTTATACAGCAAAATTATCTTATGATAACAGGTTCCCCCGGCCTCCTTCCACTCCTCAATCCTTCTAGTATTTTATATGCAATAACTGTATACCATTTTCATCAGATACTTAATTTTTTTCCTCAATGTACCCCCCAACCTTTGGAACATACGGGATCTACACTGCAAACAATATGAGTTATACAGGCAGTTGGCATAGTCTATAACAATAAGCTTGAGAAACTTTCTGCTACTCAAGAACTGCAACATTGCCTAGAAACCCTCATCTTGCTCCTCTGCAAACCAAGAACAACATTTTAAAAGTACAATATATGAAAAGAACACAAATATGTATAATTGAAAAGAAAAGAAATACCACATGTGTACTGTGTGCATCCACATGTACTCGAAATATTATAATCTATTCTCTGAACTTCTCCCTGTGATATTAAAAACAAATATTTCAGTGTCATATGTGTCCAATCTGACAAATACTACAAAATGGCATGTCATCTGTAAGAAAGTAAAAACTTTTATGACAACTGACATACATCCCACTATACCAGAGCACTCATGCTTTTAAACTCAGTGAAGAGGTTTTTCTCCCTTTCATGCCAATTACCAGTTGGGTTATTTGGGGACCTATAACTGGGTTGTATCATGAGATGTCCTGTATGTTGAAGGACTACTGTTTTACCCATAATGCTAGAACACTGTGCAAGGACAGTGAAACTAAATCCAAATATATACTTACTCTTGTTTATGATGGGGTGCACCTTTCACTATCTCTTGCACAAACGGAACAATAAGAACTTCTACTACAGCACTGTGGAAATTCTTGTACAACTGTTTGTTTCCACTGGTCAGTGGAGGAGGGAAAGGTAAAAGGTAAAGGTAAAGGTTCCCTTGCTCGAAAGCCAGTCGAATCCAACTCTAGGGTTGCGGTGCTCATCTCCATTTCAAAGCCGAAAAGCCAGTGCTGTCCGAAGACGTTTCCGTGGTCATGTGGCCGGCAAGGCAGCAAGGCGCACGGAACGCTGTTATCTTCCCACCGAAGTGGTACCTATTCATCTACTTGCAATTTCTTGCTTTCGAACTGCTAGGTTGGCAGGAGCTGGAACTAGAGATGGGAGCTCACTCCATCATGCGGCACCCGGGTCTCGAACTGCTAAACTACTGACCTTCCACAGCCTGCAGTTCAGCGTCTTAACCACTACTCCATCCTGTACTATTGTGCATTTTGTTGTCGAAGGCTCTACTAACCCACCAAGAGGATTTTCAGATGAAAAAGCAGGTTATTACGGGAGGGCAAAGAAAGACCCTCCTGCCAGTTCCACCTAAGAACTTTTCTACTGGATCCAACCCCATACTTTCTAATCTAGTTCTATCAAAATTTACTAGAGCTCATTTGCTAACACATGCTCATCTTCTACTTTTTAAATTTGTCCTCTATACTACTGTTATATATAATAATCATGAATATACAAGTAATCTGTATATTAATGAATTTAAAACTATGACTAAATTATATCCAATAAAATTTCTTACCACTTTACAAGCTGGCACAGTAGCGTTTTCACAATTGCATTCTGGGGGAAAAAGGGGGGGGGAGTAACATGACAATATCAGTGGAGAACAAAGGACCATAATTTGGCAGTAATTAGGACACAAGCCAAAGTATGAGTGGAAGATCCAAGGGTTGGAAGCACATCATGCAGCCATCTTGCTGCAGCTAAATAGGTCTGGTCCTGGTCAGTACCTCAATAGGAGACCTTGCAGGTCCCTCCTTGTATACTGCCTTGAGTACCATCGTGGAAGAAAGGCAGGATTATAGACAAACAAATAAATAAACAAAGCATCATTAGACTTACCACACTGCCAAGCTGGACAGCACTGCCCAGGAACTTTTTTCTTCAGAAGTTTCATGTCAGCAGAGCAATTCATGAATGGTAATGGACAGAGGTTCTCATCACAAACTAGAGGAATGGAAATTATTTAAATGGGAAAAAGTTATGACCATAGTTCCTTTTTTTCCCAATTATATTTATTTCAATTTTCTTATGCATTACATCATGCATACAGACTACATTTCTTAATATCTTTACAGAGTCATCAAAATCTCAGTTCATCTCTTATTTTCACTCATCCATTTATAAAACCTTCTCCATCTGTTGTTAAATAGCTCTATATCCTTGTTCTCTAAGGTTATAGTCAGTTTATCTATTTCAACTACTTCTTGTACTTTATTGATCAGTTCTCTTTGCGATGGTATCCTCTCAACTTTCCAGTTTTTGGCAAAAAAAATACGTGCTGCTGTGATAATAAATCCTATAACATATTTTTCTTCATTCTTCAATTTATCTGGCATTACATTCAACAAAAACAATTCTGGTCTAAAAGGAATTTCTACCCCCAACATATCTACTAACATCTTATGTACCTTCTGCCAATACTGTTGGGACTTGGCGCACCTCCACCACATATGGTAGAAGGTGCCCACATTCTTTTTACATTTCCAGCAGTTTTTAGATGCATTAGGGTAACATTTGGCTATCCTATCCAGGGACCAGTGCCACCGGTGAAACATTTTAAATACATTTTCCTTATATGGAATCGCTCTTAACTGTTTTGCAAATTTTGCTATCCAAATTTTGGACCAGTCTTCTATAATATAGCCTAAATCCTGCATCCAAATAATCATTGTGCACTTAATTTCTTCATCTAGTTCAAAATTGGTTAAGAATATATTATACAATTTTTGAATTAATTTATCATTTGTCGATAACCATAATTTATCTAACTCATTTCTTTCAATTCCTTTCTTTTCATCCTTCTCAAAATATGTTCTTAATTGCATATTTTCCCACCAGGATAGTTATACACCTTGTTTCTCAAGTGCTTCTTGTGTTTTTATTTTACCACTTGTATCTAGTAATGATTCATAAGTTAGGAGCTCTGTATTTTTCGTTAAGGAGGGCTTTATAAAGGCTTCTAAAGGGGAAAGCCATCTAGGAGTTTTATGGTAATATTTGTCTTTGATCTCCTGCCAGATTTTATTTAATGCACCTCTAATTGTATGTTGGTTGAACTTTCTATGAATTTTATCTTTATCATAGCCGATATATGCGTGCCATCCCATGTCCAAATCGAACCCTTCTAACGTCAACAGTCTCTTATTTTCTAGAGTAATCCATTCTTTTATCCAAATCATTACAGCCGCGGAATAATAAAGCTTCCAGTTTGGGAGATTAAGACCCCCTTTTTCTTTTCTGTCTTGTAGAACCTTCCATTTTATCCATGGGGTCTTATTTGCCCATATGAATTTTCTACATATTTTGTCCAGTTCATTGAATATTTTCGCACTTTTCAAAATCGGGATATTTTGTGCCAGAAACAAAACTCTCGGGAGAATATTCATTTTTAATACTGCTATTTTTCCCATAAAGGATATTTGGAGATTTTCCCTTTTTAAGTCTTTTGTTATTTCTGTTAATAGCTTGACGTAGTTATCTTCGATCAATGCATTATTTCTTTTAGATATAATTATTCCTAGGTATTTAACTTTAGTAACAGTTTTCATATGAGACACCTTTTCTATCTGTTCGATCTGATGCGTTGTACAGTTTTTAGTTAACATATTTGTTTTGTTATAATTTATTTTTAGCCCTGCCACCTCTCCATATTTCTCGATTACTTCCATCAACACTGGTATAGAGTCAACTGGATCTTCGACCACAAACGCCAAATCGTCTGCAAATGTCTGCAACTTATAAACTTCTTTTTGTATTTTTAATCCTTTTATTCTATCATTATCTCTTATCAGGTCTGTTAATGTTTCTAACGTAAAAATAAAGAGTAGAGGTGACAGAGGACACCCTTGTCTTGTGCCTTTTTGAATTTGAATATTTTGTGTTGTGTCTCCGTTTATTATCACTTTGGCGTTTTGCTTTGAATACCATAGTTCCTTAGGTAAATCAGTGAGACATGCAGAGTGGGATCCAGGCAGCTTTTTCACTCAATGTCACCCATTTACTTTCCATACTATAGCACCATATCAAATGGCTTTTGTACATGCAAATCTCATTAGTTGCAGCTTGGTCTTTTGGGCTGGTTGAAGTTGATGTATCCTTCGTTTTTCACCAGCAGAAAAGCTGGCTGGATAATGTATTGATGTAAAAATTACACTACTGCTCTTACTCTATATCTCATGTTAAACTTGAAGTGTATTTACATGCTATTATTATTTTTATGCAACATTTTGACTTCAATAAAAAATATAAATTGGAAAAAAAAGGAAAGCTGGCTGGATCTTTTCAGTATTATATTATGATAGTTGCTTATGATCATTAACTGAAAGACCCTTAAATTCTCAAAGCATTTTTTATATGGCCTGGGAGGCTTCTATTTCAGAAACAAAAGCTCACTTGGGTGCAGAACTAGTTGAGTTCTCTGGAGCTTTGTCACGGGCAGTATTAAGTATTGAGATGAGGCAGCTTTTTTCATAACAACATGCTTCTTTATTGAACTTCCAAACTAAAGAACCAGGCTCAACAGAAGCCAATTTATACTTTTAAAAACCACACCTACGTTAAACAACAACCAATACCAAGCAGGAAGCCAGAATCCTTCATTTGCATGAACTATGTATAATGTAACTAATGACAGTGCAGCTATTGGGTTATAGTAAACAAATATGATTGTCCGTTACCAGTAACATAACCAATAGTCTTGAAGGCTTTTGGAGCTTTGCTCCACCAAGCTCCACCAGTACATAACAGGCAGTTTCATCCATTGCTGTTGCTGTTCCCTTACGGATTTAAAGTGCATGATCAGACAGCAACATCTGTCTGTCGTGCTGCAATCATCTGAGTCCTATTTCCCCTTTGCTGTGTATTTCTTTGATACCTGAGCTGGTTCAAAAACAGATTTCCTGCTGTCTGATTGTTCTGTTGTGCACCCAAGCTATCAGGTAGATCTGACTGGTCTCTTGTTTTCCAGCCGTCATTTTGTTTTACTAGTTAGCAAGGAGCGCATAACTGCATATACAAATCCCCCCTCCCCCACAGGGGCTGCCCAAAACTGTTTTCTTTTAAAAAACTCTCAAAGAAAGACAGCTTTTTTCTGTCCTTTGGTGAAGGGGTAAATTGAAAAAATTAGAGGGAAGATGGCAGTGAACTCCATATCCCAGCAGTCTCAGCAAGCCTTGTGTGCATGCTCTGAAGGCAAACGTTTTTTAAAAATGGCCAACAGCTCCATGAACTACATATCTCAGCAGGCTGATCAGTGCTTGTGGGCATGCTCCAAGGACAAACTTTTTTAAAAAAATGGCCGACAGGCTGACTCTCTGCCTGCTGCCGTCTGATCACATAAAAGCACTTTGAAACATGCTAAAAGGGCTGAGTCTGGTCAGGATTCTTTGTCACAAAATAATCTGGCTCAATTAGAGGTGGGGCAACAGTGGATTGAAGTGCCCATCTGAACGCAGCCATGGTTAATAACAGGACTACTTCCAATGTCGGTTTTTTAAATCTCGTTCTGAAAGAGCGCATAGGGAATGTGGTGGAGTTGCTAGAGTGCTGAATGGGAATACTGGAAAACTACGATCAAATCCCTCCTTAGATATGTATTTCACTGAGTGGTTTTGGAGACGTCACTGTTGCTTAGCCTAGTCTATTTCACATGGTTGTTGAGAGGCTTTGAGAGTTCCTTGGTGGAAAGACTATAAAACTGAACTGATGATGATCAGTGTATAAATGATCATTTGATTCCAAAGCATATGGAATCATCTGACCATGCTTAACAGAGAAAAACATACATCCGTGATTATTTCCCAACTACTTTTCAATATGTGCATTCAGAACATGAGTAAAGAAAATTTAACATAACCAGGACCCATGCTGATCTTATCTCATGTCAATGACAATAGTTACTGAATGGTAAAACATCAATCGTTACAATTCAATTTAAGATATATATCTACATGTAGAACTTACCACAATGATAATGAGGGCAACAGTACTGTGTAGTGCTGAGATCTACAGTAAGAATTTCTCCTTCATTACATAATGGAATAGGTTCTATACAGGATTCACAAACTGCAAGAAAAAATAGATCAAACATAAGGTTAAAGTTCATTAAATTGGTTTCTTGTTTTTCTGTATTTGAGTTTATATTAACAAAATGCAAAACTAACTCTGTGCACTAAGAAGTGCTATTTATTCCCCACCCCAACAACAATTTCTTTACTCAATGAGTAATAAATTGTGGAATACACTGCCAATGAAGGTTGTGGTGGCCATGAGCATAGATGGCTTTTTGAAAGGGTGTTAAGACAAATTCATGGAGGAGAGGTTCATCAATGGCTACAAGCCGTGGTGAGTAAAGAGAGCCTTCATATTCAGTAAACCTCTGAAACCTCATGCTAGGAGGCATCAGGGGGAAGGCCTTGGCCTCTGTGTCTTGTTTGTTTTCCTCCAGGGCAACTGGCTGTCTGCTGTGTAATACAGGATGCTGGACTAGATGGAACACTCATCTGATCCAGCAGGGTTCTTGCATCTCAAACTCTGCCTGGCATGAGATCAGGGCCTCTGTCAGAAGGGCTCTAGGTACTTGGGTTACTAGGGCTGCCAGCTCTGAGTTGGGAAATACCTGGAGATTTTGTGGGTGTAGCCTTTTGAAGGTAGGGTTTGTGGAGGGGAGGGATGTCAGCAAGATATAATGCCACAGAATCCATCCTCCAAAGCAGCCATTTTCTCCAGGGGAACTGATCTGGAGCATCTGGAGATCAATTGTGATAGCAGGAAATCTCCAGGTGCTACCTGGAGGTTGGCAAATCTATGCATTTGGGTTGCTATCTGAAGCATTGGGAGAGAAGAGGAATTCACTCTCTTTTTTCTTTTCTTTTTTACAATTTTTTTTAAAATTTTCAAGACAAACAAACATAAAATGGGTACATTAACACATATCATTTTTTATTAATCTACCTCATACATAATCTAAAACTATGTCACTTTTCCACCTTATGTATATAATAGTTTGCAAGGATATAGGTACATAAATCTTATTTTCTACTAATTTAACCTTTGTCTATAATCTTCCATTAACTATAGATGGTTATATGGTTCTTATTTTCTTTTGGATGGATTATCTAAACATGTACTCACTACATCACTGGGTTGAGCTCCATCACTACAGCTAGTCTTTGGTTTGCACTACAGCTAGTCTTGCGCTCATGCCATCTACAGCATGCTTTCTTCTGGAAACTCTTCTCTGCACCATGAGCTGGTGACCGCATCAATCTGAAGAGAGACTTGTACTTTCAAGGACTATTAGGTCACTATACAACTGGTGCAGTTGTCATTTATGCATGGTGGCAAAACTGTTATGTATTTATTTTGGTTGTAAGTAGAACTGTATAAGAAGACAGTAGTCTCAAGTATGATTTGTACAGCATGACAGATTATTCTGCTCACCTGGAGATTGGCAGCAATGGTTCCCCAGAAGGAAATGGCTGGTTTGGAGGGTGGAATCTACGGCATTGTACCTGTCTGAGGTCCCACCCCTCCTCAAACCCCACCCTCTACAGACTCCACCCCTCAAATCTCCAGGAATTTCCCAACCTGGAGTTGGCAACCCTATCTCCTTCCCAGCCAAGCATCAACCTACCGTTAACTGCCCCTCTGACCTTAGGTTTCCAATTCCTCCCTGCAGCCTCTACCTAGGAAATGGACGGTCTTTCTCCACAGTGGGGATCAAAGCAGCTCACATCATTCCCTTCTCCCCCTTTTGATCTGCACAACAACCCTGTGAGGTAGGTTAGGCTGAAAGTCTGTGACTGGTCTGAAATCACTCAATTAACTTCCACAGCAAGAACTTGGGTCTGGCAGACCCTGCACCACCTCAGCAGGGTATAATCACACAGAGTCCACCATTTTCTCCAGGGAAACTGATCTCTGCCATCTGGAGAGCGGTTGTAATTCTGAGTGATCTCCAGTACTCACCTGGAGATTTGCAACAATGGTTCCCCAGGAGGAAAAGTTCAGTCTTTCTCCACAGTGGGGACCAAAACAGCTTACATCATTCTCCTCTCCCGCTATTGAACTGTATAACAACCCTGTGAGGTAGGTTAGCTGAAAGTCTGTGACTGGTCCAAAATCACCCACTCAGCTTCCAAAGCAATAACCTGGGTCTGGCAGACCCTGCTCTGAAGCGTTAACTGCTATGCCACACTGACTATCCTAGGGAGGCTGCTGCTGGTGAACAGAAGCAAGCAGCCAGGCCTCATAAAGTCATGCCAGTCAGGTGTCATCGAGTCATCCAGAGGGCGCTGCTAGGCCTAGTGTAGCCAACCTCCAGGTGGAGCCTGAAGATCACCCAGTATCACAGCTGAACTCCAGACAACAGATCTCTGTCCCCCTGGAGAAAATAACTGCTTTGGAGGGTGGACTCTATGGCATTTTATTCAGCTGAGGCCTCTCCCCTCCCCAGACTCTGGCTTCTGTTAATTCCACCACAAAATCTCCAGGAATTTCCCAACCTGGAGCTGTCAACCGTAGTCAGGACTGGCTTCAATGAGTTCCCCACAAAGGCCAAAGTAGGCCTGGAAAGGGTCTCCTCCCCCCACCTTTTTATTGACAGGACCAAGCTTGGTTTCCAAGCAACAGCCACTGAGGGGAAAATTAGCCCAACAGCAGTAGAAGGGAATGATTTGATGGCCGCTGGCTCACCTCAGTAGCCAGCCAGCCTTGGAGGAGCCCAGCAGAAGAAGCAGCAGCTGTAGAAGCCTCTTCCTGAACAGGGAACAGTAGTTTCAGTAGCCAGCCAGATGTAGAAGTGTCTTCGTCAGGAGAGACAGCCATTTTGGCAATTTATTCTGACAGGGCACAGTGGCTGAGGTGGCAGTGGGTGGGAAAGAGGAGCGGATCCAGCACCCAGCCAATGGCATGTGAGTACTCTTGAGTGGCAATTGATGGGCCAATAGCTGATTGCACAGCACAAACAATGGGAGAGCTGGAAAGTGCCAATGCGTTAGGGCTTTTATATATATATCAGATTCCAAGGACTGTAACGTTTTTTGTCACATATCTATCTATACAAGTGGGGACCTGCAATACTCATGGGGATCCCTTTCCTTCTCTTAACTTCTTTCTCTCCCCCACCCTCATCACAGCTGGGGCCACCATGGCTCCCCCCTCACACCATTGCCACCATGCCCAGCATTGCTCATGGCCATCACTGATAGACCCGCTACAGCGTCTCCCCCCCCCACACTGCCAGCACTGCCACCAGGCCTAGTACATCTCCTGGTGTCCACCACCAGACCTGCCACAACTTCCCCCCATCACTGGTGCCATTGCTAGAGCTGCTGTGGCTCACAGCCACTGCTGCTGCTCCTACTGGGCCCAGCACACTTCCAAGTGCCATCACTGGGCCCACCATGGCTTCTTCCACCCCTCACAATCTCTGCTGCTGCGGATGAGCCTGACATTGTTCCCAGGCTCTGCTGTGGGGCCCACTGATGCTTTCTCCACCCCAGCATTGTCATCACCAACTGGAAGAGGAGGACAAAGTGGGAGCCATGCCAGATCTCCTGAATGCATCCCCCCATATGACTACCAACATCACCTGGAGCAGACAGAGGAGGTACGTGTGTTGTCTGTGCATGCTTTTATTTGGAGGGGATTTAAAGCCCCCAATGTATTATTTTTTACTTTTTCAGATTTTCCTGCAAACTTGAGGAGTCCTCCACGTTTGCAGAAGTATCTGTTTTTAGATAGCATGGCTCCAATCTGCAAATTCAAGTATCTGCAGATGAGAATGCACTTGACTATTAGAATATACAAGTGGAGGCCCATGAGACTTGCATGGGCCCATCCTCCTCCCACTTGCTGCTGAGCCCAGACACAGCTCCCTGCCACCCCCTGTCTCCAGAGTGGTTATTGTGTGGCTTCCAGTCACCACTGAGCCCAGTACAGCTCCTAAAGTCCACCACTGCACAGCCGGGCTAGGTACCACTCCCTGGGTCTGCCACTACTGCAGCGGGGCCCAGAGAAGCTCACAGACTCCATTGATGGCTCAGCCAAGCCAGGAATTCCAGACTCTGCCTGTGGCCGCTGCTAAACCCCGTGCAGCTCCCAGCATCTACTACTACTACCAAGCCAGGAGTGGCTCCCCAGACACTGTCAAAGGCCAGAAGGTAGGTTTACTGTCTCTGTACACTCAGATAATGCTCCTTATTTTGGGAGAATTTAAACTCCCCAATTTATTTTTTAAGGTTTTCTGATCTTTCTGCAAATGGGGGGGGGGGGGAGTTTGCAGAAAAACCTGTTTTGTCAGTGTGGCCCCAATCCATGGATTTAAGTATCCACAGATGAGCCCACATTTGGCTATTAAAGTATAAGATGATGTTGTAATGGGTGATTATATCTGTGCATGAGGGGAGAACCAGTCAGTGTCTTTCTTGTATGTATGTATGTATCAGAATAACTGTGTGTCTGTCTCACGAAGTGTGTGTGTGCAGGCGTGTGAAAGACAGTGCACACATGTCTCGGAAGTGTGGCTCATTTCACTGTTCTCAGTTATGTGACTGAACTCTTCATATGCTTTAACCTGTAGTCAGGATTGGATTGACAAAGCATTTTCTGTAAACTGTGCCCTAAACTAGTGGGTTCCACCTACAGCTAATTTAATGTCTCAGTATTACCTGCGCCTCTACAAACCCACTTAGCTGCCCCTGAGAATAGTGATTCTTTCCTTGTAGCAACTGCTCTACCTTTTAAACTCAAGTACTTTTTGTACCCAAGGTTTCTTACCACACAAATATGAAAAACAGCAAGGATCCTCTTGTTTTGCTTCAACAATGAATTGGTCTTCTCTGCACTCTGGACGGGAAGCATTGGGACATGCTGATGGATCACAGTCTGAATAAAGACAAGACAATTTTTCTAGTATTTTTAAATGCTTAGAGGAATTAAGAACATAACAGAAGCCATGTTGGATCAGGCCAATGGCCCATCCAGTCCAGCACTCTGTGTCACACAGTGGCCAAAATCCAGATGCCATCAGGAGGTCCACCAGCAAGGCCAGAACTCCAGAAGCCCTCCTACTGTTTCCCCCCTAAGCATCAATAATACATGGAATTCACTGCCCCAGACATAGTGTTCCATCCATACCTTGTGGCTTCTGCACCATCTGTTTATCTAATCCCCCTTTTAAAGCTCTCTGTGCTGGTAGCCACCATCACTACCTGCGACAGTGAATTCCACATGTTAATTACTCTTCGGTAAGTACTTCTTTTATCTGTTCTAAACCTACTGCTCATTAATTTCATTGAGCGCCCACAAGTTCTTGTATTGTGAGAAAGGGAGAAAAGTACTTCTTTCTCTACCTTCTCTATCCCATGCATAATTCTGTAAACCTCTATCATGTCATCCCTCAGTCATCATTTCTCCAAGCTAAAGAGCCCTAACCTCTTTAACCTTTTTCATATGGAAAGTGTTCCATCCCCTTAATCATTTTAGTTGCCCTTTTCTGCACCTTTTCCAATGCTATAATATCTTTTTTGAGGTGCAGTGACCAGAACTGTACATAGTATTCCAAATGAGGCTACACCATTGATTTATACAGGGGCATTATGATACTGGCTAATTTGTTTTCAGTCCCCTTCCCAATAATCCCAGGCATAGCATTTGCCTTATTATGGTGGTCACACACTGAGTTGACATTTTCAGTGAATTATCTACCATGACTCCAAGATCTCTTTCCTGGTCCGTCTCCACCAGATCAGACCCCTTCATGGTGTATTTATAGTAAGGATTTTTGGCTTCAATATACTACTTTGCACTCACCCACACTGAATCTCATTTGCTGCATTGATGCCCACTCACCCAGCCTCGATAGATCCCTCTGGAGTGCCTCACAGTTCTCCCTGGTTCTCACCACCTTGAACAACTTAGTGTCATCTGCAAACTAAGGCTGTGGTCACATGGCAAGCTTATTGCGATTTGTTCCCAATATAGATTTGATCGGGAATATTTTTTTCAGGTTGAGATGATCACACATCCCTCCTCAAACAGCAAGCATGACACAACAAGGCTCTGGGCACTGTCTAGATAGCTGCGCCATTGCTTGGACAGCACAGCATGAGTTTTTTTAAAAAAAACTTGCTTTGCGCATGCGCCTACGCACACGGCCGAATCAACGCCCCTACTTGGATTCACTGTACTCCCTTTTTTTACAGGTCCCCCCCGAACAGCGAACAAAATGAACCGATTACGTACTACCAAGCACTGGAGAGTCTATATGTGTGCTTGAACGTTTAAACATTGAATTTATTCAGTGCAGGATTGCTCATACGCACAAAGACGGAAGCTGGGTGTCATGCCTGCCCCTGCTGATGTCATGCCTGCCTTTGCTGATGCCCCTGAACAGGCTCCTGAGGACCCTGAACAGGCTCCTGAGGACAGTACTGCAGCAGAAAGGCAAAGACTGGATCCTGTAGCTGAAAGCTATCTAAGTGGTGAGGAGGATAGAGCCTCCCAGGGAACACCTGCAAGGGATCAGTCTCTGCTGCAGCCCAGTAATTCATCATCAGACTCGCCTCCACCTGTAACCAGGCTCAGGAATGTAAGAAGACAACAGCTGAGAGAGCGAAGGCAGAATGCACGCATGCGTGCCAGAAGATCTCTTAGCCCTGATTACTGACAGGATCCTGTCCTCACTCCTGGCTAGCTAATGAGTTGATTAGCTAGCACTGTATATATGCAAGTCTGTTGCCAGCAGTCATTTGTGCTGGCAACGTCGTTTGTTCAGGACCTGAATCCTTGCATCTCTGCTCCAGACCTTGTGGAATTCTTCTCGGCTTGATCCTTGGCTTTTGACCTTCGGCTTTGTTGACCCTGCGTTCATCTCTGACTCCTCTGGTATTGTTGTGATTTATGGACTTGAAACTTTGGTATGTCTGACCCTGCTTTTGGACTGTGATTTAAACCTGCTTGAACCTTGCTACCTGGTTTGCCCGGCTTGACCTCAGACTGTTCCTGGACTTTTGCTTGCTTGTGTCACGCCCCCTGGGTCCTGCCGTGACACTGGGGGGGGGAACCTCATTGCACGAAGGACAATCAGACGACCTAATCACAATCATTGCAAGAGATGGCTGTCCAGATCAGTGAAATCGCAGATTCAAAGTGCAAATACCTGGAAAGTACTTGATTTTCCCAGTGTCGGAAAACTCGCTAGGGAACTGGGAGGCTCGCGCAAGTGAGCCCACTTCGGTGTGGGAGACAGATTTGGGCATCTGATCAGCAATTTTAAATGCGAGAGGGAACAGTGGTGAAACCCAATCAAAATGACTGTGTGACCACAGCCTTAGCCACATCAATCCTTACTCCCAACTCCAAATCATTAACAAACAAGTTAAAAAGCAGCAGACCCAGTACTGAGCCCTGCGGTACCCCACTGCTTAACAAGTTCCACTGTGAAAATTGCAAGTTTATATTCACTTACAGTTTCCTGTTAATTAACCAGTTTTTAATCCATAAGAGGACTTGTCCTCTTATCCCATGACTACTGAGTTTTTTAGGAGCTTTTGCTGAAGAACTTTATCAAAAGCTTTCTGGAAGTCTAGGTAAAAATATCTATTGAGTCACCCTTGTTCACATGTTCATTCAACCCCTCAAAGAACTTTAATACGTTAGTGAGACAAGATCTTCCTTTACAGAGTCCATGCTGATTCTTCCTCAATAGTTTTTGTTCATCAATGTGCCTACTAATTCTCTCCTTAATAACAGATTTCACCAGCTCACCCGGAATCAACATTAGATTCACCAGCATGTAATTTCCCAGATCTCCCTTAGAACCCTTTCCCCAACTACCTTCCAGTCCTCAGGAATGGAGGCAGATGTTATTGATAGATTGTATATTTTTGTCAAGAGATCCACAATTTTACATTTGAGTTCTTTCAGAACACTTGGATGTATGCCATCTGGGCCTGATGATTTGTCAGTTTTTAATTTGTCCCTCAGTCATAGAAACTTCTTCCTCTTCAGTGGTTCTGGAGTGGGCAAGCACCTCCCATCTTCCACAGTGAAGAAAGAGGCAAAAAATGCATTCAGTTTCTCGGCCATTTCCCTATCATCCTTTAGTAATTCTTTTACCCCTTGGTCATCCAAGGGCCCCACTGCCTCCCTGGCTGGTTTTCTGCTTCTAAGGTATTTGAAGAATTTTTTTATTGTTGATCTTTATGTTTTTTGCAATATGTTCTTCATAGTCCCTTTTTTGCCTGTCTGATCACCGACTTGCATTCTATTTGCCAAAGCCTATGTTCCCTTTTATTTACCTCACTCGGACTAGCCTTTCACCACTTAAAGGAAACCTTCTTAACTTTTATGACTTTCATTACTTTGTTAACCATTCAGGCCCACAGTTTCTACCCATAGTGTTTCTGTAAACGAATCTATTTCTGTTACATTCTCGACCTTACTGGACTTTATATCCTTCTCTGACATACAGAGCCTCTCCACTTCTGACCTTTCCCTCCCTATCCTTCCAATATAATTTATATCCAGGAATCACTGCATCCCACTGATTTTCCTCATTCCACTAAGTTTCTGAAACGCTCACAATGTCTATGTTCTCCTCTGACACTAAACATTTTAGCTCCTCCATTTTACTTTAGACACTTCTAGCATTTGTATAGAAACATCTATAATTCCCCATACATTTTAGGCCTGCAACCTTCCTCCTATGGCCTCTAGACATGGTGAGGCAGTCAATATTGTTTGTCACCATCTCAGCGGCTAGCCCTAGTCCATTTCCCTGTAGAACAGTAACAGCTACCCCTTCATCTCTTTGAGATGAGCCATCCTGAACCAGAGACATTTTGTCTCCTGTTGGCTTTCTCCCAAGATTTAGTTTAAAAACTGCTCTGCCAACTTTTTGATCTTAAGCACAATCAGCCTGGTTCCTTCTCAGGAAAAGTAGAGGCCATCTGTTTTGTAAATGACTTGCTTGTTCCATAAAGCATCTCAGTGCCTAACAAACTTAAACCCTTCCTCCCTACACCATTGTCTCATCCACGGATTAAAATTCCTAATTTGTGCCTGTCTTGCTGGCCCTGAACATGGAATAGGTAGCAGTTCTGAGAAGGCTTACACATGTCTAGATGAACAATCTCTTCTTAATCTGGTTATTTTTACATACACTTACCACATCGGTACTGGGGGCAGCATGATGAAAGACTATATCCCACTACCAGCTTTTCAGTAATTTTGCATGTTGGAATAATAGAGTCACACAGAGTCATGTTGCATTCTAAAAATTGAAATTAACAATGGGACTTAATCAACATGACAATAATATCAAGCACCTATGGTTCACAAAGTAGAAAATGCACATGCTGAACCAGCAGTTCTTTTTACAATCCCCTTTACAATTCCCTACCATTAAGGAAAGAAATTTAAATATACAACAAAACTTAAATTGATGGTGTTTTGTATAAATATTGTGTGGTATCTTGTGTGGTATCTTGTACCAGTCCATCTTTTCAGCATCCATAGTGCTTTTGAGAAGGACAATTATGCAGCTCTTTAGGCTGGCTTATTATCCCCAAGTAAGGGGATGAATCAAGAGGATACATCGCCTGGTCCTGCCTTCTTGCTGCTTAATCAGCTCCTATGAAGAAATTTGACTAAATGGTGCTTTGTTCATAGACTTGCCTTCTCACTCATTGTTTGGGTTACTATTAGATAAGATATTTCAACAAAAATCAGAGAGAAAGCTTTTCATGGTTGTTGTTGTTTTTGCAGAACAGCTGAGAGCCATAGGAAAGTACTAAAAAGGTAAAGGTTCCCTTGCTCGAAAGCCAGTCGAATCCGACTCTAGGGTTGCGGTGCTCATCTCCGTTTCAAAGCCGAAGAGCCAGCACTGTCCAAAGACGTTTCCGTGGTCATGTGGCCGGCATGACTAAACACCAAGGCCCATGGAACGCTGTTACCTTCCCACTGAAGTGGTACCTATTTATATACTTGAAATTTCTTACTTTCGAACTGCTAGGTTGGCAGGAGCTGGAACTAGAGATGGGAGCTCACTCCATCATGCGGCACACTCGGGTCTCGAACTGCTGAACTACTGACCTTCCACAGCCTGCAGTTCAGCGTCTTAACCACTTGAGCCACCGCAGCTCATAGTACTAGGAAAGTACTAGTGGGGACTTTTTGCCAAAACTTCAGTATTGACTTCACCCATGAAAAATGCTTTACCATGAATATAAAGAGTGAGAAACAAATTTTTAACTCACTGTTCAATGCATCCTGATCAGTTCCTTTCATCTTAATATCCTATCATCTCATAAATATTACTATTGTGGAAAGTAACTCTGCTGTTAACACTTACCACAGACTTTCTTTGGACAGCAGGCCCTCTCTTCAATGACATTAATAATTGCCTCACCCTCTCGCTCACAGATGGGAGGTGGCTCTTCACTGCATTCAGGCTCTATGGCAACAATACTCCCATTCTCCAAGCATTTATACATGCAGCAACCTTTATTGGAGCCATTCCAGACCTCTCCAGCAGCACGGGGCTGCCCTTCATTATCTGTGCATGCTGTTAATGAAAAACAATTTATTTGTGTACTGTAATACAACCAACGTTCTTGGAATATACAACATCTGATTGCTGTATAAATGGCAACAGAAGGATTGTATCAACAGTCATACTGGACAGCATTCTATCTCCTCAATTAGTCTTGAACCAATATCCTTAAGTTGTTTCACATGGGTCCCCAAAAATTCTGAATCCACTGTTTGGAAATCGCTATCAACCTCAAGAAGGCGGCCTTTTTTGCAAATAGAGACAGTGGTTGTATGGCCTGAAGACAGACAACAGCTTTTCTAATTGGCACCTAGTACAGAATGCCTATCAACTCCACATTCCATTAAATATGCCTATAAACTCAACACTTCTGGGAGAACACAGAAGACAGAGATAGAAACCATACTTCCCAACCTCAGCAGAAAGTTAGCATACTTTGGGCTAATGGGGAAAATCTGTTTATATAGCTATAGCTTTACTTACTACATTTTTCTTCTGGAATGCAAAGATCAGCATCAGTTCTATGAAGAATGGTCCCATTTTTGCAAACACAGTCTTCCCTTAAGTAGGAGCATGGTGATTCTTCATAGAACCATTTATTTAGGCATGTTTTGGCAGCACAGGGTTGCACACAAGGCTGGTATTCCTTTCCATCAGGACAGCTGAGGGCTACAAATAAACATAGAGAGGAAATGAAAAAAAATGCATTTATGTATGCATGGCAAAACAGAAAAATTATTCCTTTCATACATTACAGTGAATGTACATACATGTACAGTGTATACTTGATTTTATTTGTGCGTGCATTTAGTAATTCTCATGCTGTATTCAAAGCAGGTTCAGGTGAAGGTGTGATTTAAACTTTACATTTATCCAGGTACTAGTCCCCAGTTTTATTTTTAAAGTAAACATGCATTGGCTGTTACTTACAAATGGATGTACGCATATACATGTAGGATGTACATATGCTCACCGCAACATATGAACAGGGTTTACATTAATATCATGTCAAACTGCCTTTCCTAGGAAGCTGAAATACTGCAGTGACAAAGAATGAGCTGTGATTCAGGAAGTTCCTGGTTTAGTTGTGACTCTATCATGAATTCACTATGTGATCTTAGTATTTATTTATTATTTATTCAGATATTTTTATGCAGCCTCTCCAGGACCCTGCCTGAGACAGCTCACAAACAGAAATAATAAAAACAAAGCATTAAAAGGTATTAAAGAAGAAGAAGAAGAAGAAGAGGAGGAGATTGGATTTATACCCCACCCTTTAAAGGTGTCTCAGAGCGGCTTACAAACTCCTTCCCCATCCCCTCCCCATAACAGACACCCTGTGAGGTAGGTGGGGCTGAGAGAGCTCTGACAAGAACTGCCCTTTTTCAAGAACAGTTCTTAACAGAACTATGGCTTGCCCAAGGTCATCCAGCCAAGTGCAAGTGGAGGAGTGGGGAATCAAACCCGGTTCTCCCAGATTAGAGTCCGCGCACGTAACCACTACACCAAACTGGCTCTGACCTGGACAGCCCAGGCAAGCCTGGTCTCGTCAGATCTCAGAAGCTAAGCAGGGCTGGCCCTGGCAAGTGTTTGGATGGGAGACCTCCAAAGAATACCAGGGCCGGAAGGCAGAGGCAGGGTATTAAGCCACTTCTCTGAATGTCCTCCATGCCCCAGTAGGAGTCGCCAGAGGTCGCCATGATGCACAGATGCACACGCACACAAATGCAAAAATACCCCCCAAAAGGTATTAATTAAAGTTCATTAAAGCCCCAGCCCAGAATAAAATCACAGATCATAAAAACAGACCATAGACAGCTTAAAACAGCAGTTCCCAGGCTAATATTGTGTTTTAAAAAATTATTCCCTTAAGTAAAAAACAGAGTGAACAGAAACATTCTGGTCTCCAAGCTAAAATAAAGCTACATCCTAAGCATAGTAACTTCCTTCAAAGTCCATTGAAGTCAATGGGTTTAGAAGGGAGTAACTCTGCTTAAAATAGTACTATTAGGCTGCGGTCAGACGGGCAGTTTGGTCTGATATAATTGCGTTACCATAATGGATTAAATGAGCTTGTTCACACATCCACATCTGGCAGCCATTCCCCAGTTGTACTCACCCCATCATATGATGAGTTGGATACATAGTAAATAGCCACCAGAGACAACCAGGTGCTTACAGATCCCTGTGCATTGATCCTGCATTTCCGGATGTCTGAAACCCCCACCTCAGTGCATGCTCAAACCTGTTTGGAGGTGTGAACCTTTAGTTCCAGCTTTGCTGTATTTTGTTTTAAAATGGTAGAGCACGTGTGCACCCAAGAAATGTTCTAAAAAACCATCACAGTTGTTTGTTTGTTTGTTTTTAAAAGACCAGACCGCATGCTCTGTGGTTGATGCACAACACTAATCTGAACGGTCAACCATGGAAGAAGTGCATGGTAAGGCCAGATCAGGGTGGGAGTCTGATTGAAAATCTGTCACAAAATGTGACAGAGTAATTAGTGGTGCGCCCAAACTGTACTAACCTGCCAGTCTGACCGCAACCTGTGCTACTCAACTCCCATTCCCATCTGTGATATGGGATAACACTGGCCTACCTTACAAAACTACTTTAAGGATTACAAGGTAATATATGTGAAACATTTCGAATACTGAAAATATATAAATATTGTTTCATAGTATTATTGTTTCTATACAAATAGCAATATACAAGGTACTTTACAATTCTTATCACAGATGTGTGGGACATAAGGTTCCTAGACAGGAAGAAAAAAACGCAGGTATTTATAGAATGGTACTGTATGTGGGAGTTGGTGGTCTGTGCCATCTATCCATATGGTGAAGAGAATTTAGTACATAACCATATATATTCTGAACTATGAGAAAGTAGAGGTGAGGTAAAAATTCTCCTCAATAAGCAGGCTGATACAACAACCTCCATACAACATACTCACCATGGTAATTTGCCACTTGTTAAATAACACTATCTGTCCTTCAGGACTGTAGTGCCACTTAGTGAAGTTCATGGTTAAGCATGGGTTTAAAGCTGGGCATCTCCTTTTAAAACCTAATATTCACCGATGTTTGGGTTACCAAATCTTAAATGTAAAATGTAATCTGACAGTAGACAACAGTAGTATACTTACAACAATAATCTGGTGTTCTCCATTTAATGCAGATATTATGTTTGTTGCACAGTGCCACATATGCAGAAAGAGCATCACATTCATAATTCCAGAAATAAGTATTGTTGATCCACATTTTTTCGCAAAAGTCTTGCGGTGAAACCTAGATTTTTTAAAAAGATTGAAAACATATCATTTTTCTTTTGACACTACACCTTTTTTAATAGTGCATGTTTTATTTGAGTATACAGCCAAAGTCAGAGAGATAGGAGTGCTAAGATTCACTAATTCAGTGTTTTTATTCCATGTGTTCATACTTATTTTGAGCAAGGGAAACCTTTACCTTTTATGAGCTTTTGTGAGTCACTGCTCACTTCTTCAGGTAGGTATCTGGTTTAATGCTTAGAAGGTGAACAGGAGATAGGAATGAGGTAACTTTGTATAAATATAAATGATAGTTTGTTACAAACAGTTATTTAGTAATACAGATGGGTCTTTAAAACTGAGTTTTCTTGGCAGGCTCTGCTTAAATAAACAAGCATAAGCTTCTTTGTCTCAAAGGTATTTAAGATGGTGAAAGCAGGAACATTCACATAAGTTCCAATATCCCTTCTTAACCACTTGATAGTGATCACCCCCCTTTACTAGAAGCTATTTCCCTCAGACTTGATAGGGATCACCCCATTTTAATAGGAGCTATGTCCCTCACGGAAGGGCCAAACATCCCACTTCCCTAACTCAGGATCCTTCTTGATCCTCTCACTCTGGTTTATTCCCTTTACTGTCAACTGTTCTTAACTGCCCCTCCTAACTGACACTCTCAAATGTACAATTCTATTTGAATCTCCTGTCACTCAGGGTTCTCAGACTGGGTTAAAGCATTAACCATTTACTTTGTCACACCTAGTTTCAAACAAACACTTTTGTCTTATTTTTAATTCTCCATCAGATAGAGCTTTGGAGGAAAAAATCCTTATCCTTTTGTATAATAGAACTATCAGGTATGACCAATATCATCTACACACAAATTTAATTCAAATATTTTATCTTTTTTTTAAACTCAGAATTGTTATATTTGATATTGCAGATGTAGGATTTGCTCAGTGCTTTGTACTTACTTTTTTATGGCAGGGTGCAAAAGCCCATCTATTTAGCAGTTCCATACAATATGTACAGTTGTCTTCTGTACAGTTTCTTGTAGGTCTCCTGGTTGTTACATCTACAGATTTCTCAATTTCCCAGCTTTTAATAAACACCTCAATGTCTTCCATATTTGTAATTATTGTTCTGTTTTGCATTCTCAGGTCATCAACTGGATCACCGTTGCAAACACCTTAAATTCGTAAACAAAACACAGGAACATTAATCATCCTACAGAAGTAGAAACATTAAGTTACTTCATGAAATAGTATTAGATAAGCTCCATCCTCTTTTCTGTTAGCATGTGCTCCACCTAGTTCCTCCTGTATAAACAGAAAGTTATAGAATGAGTTTAAGGACCTGCTTCACAGAGACATTGATTCCTTTAGAATGCTAAATCCCCTGAGGATAGTAAATGCAGTCATATTCCGTTGTGCAAAGTTACTGGACTATCCTAGATTCCAGATAGGTAGTCATGTTAGTCTGTTGCAGCAAACACAAAAATTAATCTTGTGGCACCTTAAAGAACTGTATCTCTGTTATGCAGCTCTTTGTTGCTTGTAAGAATTCTTTTTAGATTAAGTGATTACCTGCAGCTGAAGATATATCTACCATACAATTCCTGTGTAAGAGAAGTATCACTGTCCAAGATGAGCTGGAAATAACTGATGATGAGTGGCAGTAGTTGACAACAAGCAGTGTTCTATCACCTTTTCTTTTGTCTTCTCATAAGTTAGCAGGGGGTAATAGCTTGACTTTTATTAATCTACTGCGTGGGTCGACATTCTAGTTTTCAGAATGTCTGATGTAAACCCCTCAGGTCTGAGTCCCTGTCCAAGGAACTGGAACAACTGTGGTGTATTGTAGGGCAAGGCTTGCTATTTACAATTGATCATGTAGATACTCAATGTAAATAAGTGCTTATATATCATATAGTTCTACAGTGGACATGCTGTATGAACAGCTCCAGAATCCAGCTGATGGAAAGGAAGAAGTTGTATAAATCTTGATGGAAACTGTGAAGGACTTCCTTCCCACAGGTCACACAGGTTGGAGAGCCAACATGGTGTAATGGTTAAGAGTGGTGGACTTTAATTTGGAGAACCAGGTTTGTTTCCCTACTCCTCCATGTGCAGCCTTCTGGGTGACCTTGGGCCAGTCACAGTCCTCTCAGAACTCTTTCAGCTCCACCTACCTCACAAGGTGCCTGTTGTGGACAGAGGAAGGGTGGTTGTAAGCCACTTTGAAACTCCTTAGGGTAGAGAAAAGTGGGGTATAAAAACCAACTCTTCTTCTTCTGAAGTAATCATGAAAGTGAGAAGAAAGTAGACATTATTCCTAATGGTTTGCAGTAGATATTCATGAGAAATTTTGAAGTATAAAACCTATATAACCATAGTTGCTGGAATGGGATTCACTGGGAGTCTGACAATGGAGTGTGGTTTCCTCAGGAAAATCAGTGGTGTTGCATACATAAACAGGGCACTGGGGCCACAGGATCTGATGATGGAGCCTATATATAGTCAGATGAACCCCTAATGTGATAATTTCATTATCTTATTTAATTCCTTCTTGTTCGGGGTTGGGGAGCCCACCCCTGCACTTACCAAGGCAGCAGATGGGGGAGAGCAACTACTTGCCACACAGCAGGTCCAGCAACATGGTTCCACCCCCACTGGTCTCCAAGGAGAAGATGGCAGGAACTGGAACAGCAACAGTGGTCCAAAGACCAGCAGTGTCAGTAAAAGGTCAGAAAGCCTAAAAGATAAACAGGGGACTTCCCCTGTGAGAGATGAAACTGCACTACTATCTCAAATCTCATGGAAATATTAAATCCTGAAGGATTTTTCCTGGGATTTCCTGAAGGGGGCGGCTCCAGTAAGTCCTTTAAAAGAAGAGCCAGCTAAAGACCAGGGTAGATGTACCAGGGCTCTCTCTGCTAGGCGGTGGAGAGGCCCAACATGGGACAGAAAGGATACAGGGTGAGTTTAATCCCTTTCTCTCCCAGTACTGAGGCCACAGGGGCCTCCTACACAGATGCCCAAGGTCAGGGGTCTAACCCAGTAGTCCAGTTTCTGAAACTTTTGTTACTCCTCAGTGATCATGTGTGGTATTTGGGCTTTTTATATGTAATCCAGCTTTTTACAATGATACTCTTGTTTTGTCAGTCTCTTATTATGATGTTATGGTACTCTGCATGGCTGAGATTGTTTCACAAGCAATGATGTGGCTGATGACCTCATTCTGGGCAAGGTGGGTGAAACAATCTGAGTAAAAATCCAGTAAAGTATTGAAGCTATCAGGGAGGCATTTAAAGGGCTCACAGTCCCTTTAAATACCTTCTCCAAGCTGAGAGTTCACTCCAAAGGCATTTGAAGAGACTGAGAGCCCTTTAAATGTCCTTTACCTGAGGCTATCCAGTGGTCCCAAAAAATCCTGAATATTTTTCGAGTCCGCCATTTTCGGATAGCTGGATAAGTACAATACAAGAACTCGTGGGCACTCAATGAAATTGCTGAGCAGTCGGGTTAGAACAGATAAAAGGAAGTACTTGTTCACCCAAAGAGTGATTAACACATGGAATTCACTGCCATAGGAGGTGGTGGTGGCTACAAGCATGGACGGCTTCAATAGGTAATTGGATAAACATATGGAGCAGAGGTCCACCAATGGCTATTAGCCACAAGGTATAGAAAGGAACTCTCAGTCTGGGGCAAGTGATGCTCTGTATTCTTGGTGCTTGGGGGGTGGAAACAGTGGGAGGGCTTCTAGTGTCCTGGCCCCACTGCTGGACCTCCTGATGGCACTCGGTATTTACTGGGTGGAAGAGTGTTGGACTGGATTGGCCATTGGCCTGATCCAATATTGGCTTCTCTTATGTTCTTATGTCTTATGTTCTAAGTAGCCCACTGGCTAACCAACTGGAAAAATACCCCCAAAATACTGATAAGGTATTTTTCAAGTATCTTTTCAGCTCAGTTTATGCTGAATGCACTCCTCTAGTGGCTAGATAGACTGATAATATTACTGTGTGAGTGTAGAATACTCTTATTGCAGTAGTGTGCAGGAGGCTTGATAGCTTAGCGCCTTGTTTTGCCTTTAGAGAAGTGAAATCTTGTTTCAGAAAAGACCTGCCGGGTATAAATGGTGCAAAAGTTAGCGTGTATAAAAGACTCAAGTTCTAAAAAGTTAATGCTTGATCTTCCACTGTTAGCTAAGCATATATTTTAGCAGTTTATTGGACAGCAGGTGGCATACTCTCTCACCATAGTCTATACAATATGTAGAATGCAGTGGATTTTTCACCTTCAGTGCTTTTGATATTTTCTTGCTATTTTCTGCTGGATAAAAAAAAATGATACCTATCTGAATCTGCATACCCCCAAAGAAGCTATAATGGTCTTTCAGTCTTTCAGGATGCTATGCAGCTGACCTTAAAAACTACAATTCTTCAACAAATTATCTTCAATGTGCAGCTGCTGGTTTGAACTGTAGTCCAACTGTAGTCAACAAGTCCTGAATGAAGATAATGCATTTCTCACCCAGGTAGCTGTTCAGTTTAGTAAAACTAGGGAAATCCTTATACCAAATACTGCTGTTGTGAGAATGGTTATGATGTTATCTTCTCTGTATACATTCGAGCATTGCATAGAGATGCCACAATGCATTTTCTGGACTTTTGAACTCACTTTATATTTTTTTTTCTTCTATGCTCAGGTATATTCTGCAAATAAGGATGAACTTCAAACATCCAATGTAATTCTTAAAGTACAAGACTGCTTTTGTATTGTATCAAAAACCACTGGCAAGGGCAATTCTAGTTCCTGAATTCTAGTGGAACTAGGCAATTTCATTATTTTGTTCCCAACAAATTAGTAAAAAGGGAATATATATAGCCTGCTAATACCTTCCCCTACAAACACACGTACATTTTAAATTAGTACGAAATTAGAATTAGTAGGCACATAGATGAACAAAACCTATTGAGGCAGACTCAGCACGGTTTCTGTAAGGGAAGATCTTGTCTCACTAACCTGTTAGTGTTCTTTGAGGGGGTGAACAAACATGTGGACAAGGGGGATCCAATAGATATTGTTTACCTTGACTTCCAGAAAGCTTTTGATAAAGTTCCTCATCAAAGGCTCCTAAGTAAGCTCAAAAATCATGGGATAGAAGGACAAGTCCTTTTATGGATCAAAAACTGGCTAATTCATAGAAAACAGAGAGTGAGTATAAATGGGCAATTTTCTCAGTGGAGGGTGGTAAGCAGTGGGGTACCGCAGGGATCAGTACTTGGTCCACTGCTTTTTAACTTGTTCATTAATGATTTGGAGATGGGAGTAAGCAGTGAAGTGGCTAAATTTGCGGATGATACAAAGTTGTTCAGGGTGGTGAAAACCAGTGAGGATTGTGAAGCACTCCAAAGGGATCTGTCAAGGATGGGCGAGTGGGCGTCAACATGGCAAATGGGGTTCAATGTGGCCAAGTGCAAGGTGATGCACATTGGAGCCAAAAATCCTAAATATAAATACAAATTGATGGGGTCTGAACTGGCAGAGACTGATCAAGAGAGAGATCTTGGAGTTGTAGTGGATAACTCACTGAAAATGTCGAGACAGTGTGTGACTGCAATAAAGAAGGCCAATGCTATGCTGGGGATTATTAGGAAGGGTATTGAAAACAGATCACCCAATATCATAATGCCCCTATACAAATCAATGGTAAGACCTCATTTGGAATACTGTGTGCAGTTCTGGTCACCACACCTTAAAAAGGATATTATAGCTTTGGAAAAAGTGCAGAAAAGGGCAACTCGAATGATAAAAGGGTTGGAACACTTTCCCTATGAGGAAAGGTTAAAGCGCTTAGGGCTCTTTAGCTTGGAGAAAAGACGACTGAGGGGTGACATGATCGAGGTTTATAAGATTATGCATGGGAAAGAGCAGGTAGAGAAAGAGGTACTTTTCTCCCTTTCTCACAATACAAGAACTCGTGGGCACTCCATGAAACTGCAGAGCGGTCGGGTCAGAACGGATAAAAGGAAGTACTTCTTCACCCAAAGAGTGATTAACACCTGGAATTCACTGCCACAGGAAGTGGTGGAGGCTACAAGCATGGACGGCTTCAAAAGGGAATTAGATAAGCATATGGCGCAGAGGTCCATCAGTGGATATTAGCCACAAGGTATAGATAGGGGCTCTGGGGCAAGTGATGCTCTGTCTTCTTGGTGCTTGGGGGGGGGGATCAACAGTGGGAGGGCTTCTAATGTCCTGGCCCCACTGCTGGACCTCCTGATGGCACTAGTATTTCTGGCCACTGTGTGACACAGAGTGTTGGACTGGATGGGCCTTTGGCCTGATCCAACATTGGCGTCTCTTATGTTCTTATGTTCTTAAATTAGTATCAGCTTAAACATGGGGAAACCATTCTTTCACTGGTATCATCCTGTTTATATAATGTTTATATAATGTTATTTTAATGGGAATTTTAATTTATTTTAGCTTTTCTCACTAATATAAAGTCATCATCACTTCTCCATCCTCCTAAACACTTTTATTTATTTTATTTTATTTCATTCCATTTCTATCCCGCCCTCCCCACACGCATACTTTGAAATCCAAGGCGTACTGGACAGAATGTTGAAATGTTAACAAAGACACACTCAGTAGTATTGTCAAAACTGTCTTGGTGTTTCATAAATTCGGTCTGACCAATACTATATTCAGAATTTCTAAGCATTTGTAGAACATTATCCCAATGTGCTTCTTTTTGAAATAATGAAAAAAGACAGATCAGTGACTGGCACATCTGTTTTGTAGCGCAAGCTGCTCTTTGGGCAACTTAGAACTCTGTTCTACCCATGGAAATAAGGAAGAAGTTGAGTTTTGTGAAAGAAAGGCCAGGGACCTAATCTCAATGGCTTGGATCCAAACTAGAATTTGTGCAGGTGCAAGGACCTCTACCTGTGAACTGCAATGTTAACACCTTTCCCCTTCTTGCAGCAGCCCAAACTGCCCCCTGAAATCCTGTTCCTGGGGGAGAAATAAGCCTCAGAACAGGATGGGGGAGGGACTTCAAGCTGCCTTGGGAGAGGGGAGCCATTCAGCACGAGGAAGTCCTTGTGCCCACAGAAATGCTAGTCTAGATCCAAGCCAATATATGTCATGCTCTACTCTAGCATACATTCCCATCACCTGTTAGAGGCAATTCTTTCAGCAACAACAATTAATGTAAACTTCATTCATGCATCATTCCTCTCCTGGCAGGTAGTTGCACTGAGGGCTATTTACTACTCCATTCACAAGAGTGCAGTGTTCTTTATATTAACTACACAATTGCATGATATTGCTAAATAAGGCACGATCATTAGTGCTGATGCCTATGTCTGGGATAGGCTAAAAAAGGAAACTGTCATTTCACAGATAAGTTGAGGGGGGCATTGACATGGCACTAGAGAGCAAAGCACACCATTGCTTCATAAATAAAAAGGATACATTTAATTAAAAGAAGAATTAAGATTAGAAATCACTTTCTCACCGCAAAGTCCTTCAGTCTTGGTGGTGGTGTTAGAGTGAAAGCCATACTGGATATCTATAATGCCTGTAACATGAGCCCACTTAATGTTGATCCCTGCTGGTGTGTTAATGACATACATAGCACCTGTATCTTGAATGCATAAGCCGTGTTTAGAGAAGGGCAAAGACTGAATCATTGAATCCACAACTACCTAAAAGAATCCAAAAATAGAACAGGAATGAAAAGTACAGCCCAAACCCATGCTTCCTACCACTGCAAGTGGCAATACTTTCCTTAAGCATTATTTTCCAATATAATGGATTGTCAGCACATTATCACTTCTATAAAGCAGCATTTTCACTTCACCATGCAATGTTCAGATATGGACTGACATGAACATTACTGGAGGTGGTCCTTAGAGTTTTCAATAACTTTTATTACACATCTTTCAAACATCATTCAGGGTTTTTTTTTGTGCAGTCTGTGCTGTGTGGTGATGCTATTTCAGGTCTGGAGCAGGAAGATGAAGGAGAGAAAGACAAGATTCACAGCAAGGGAGCTGCAGTTCACATTAGCCACAGCAGATTGTTAAGATACTGGCTGAGAGCCTCCCCGCAACCTTCAGGGTAGATTACACTAGGGGAAACAGTGATAAATCTACAGAGTGTTTCCCTGCATTGTATGGCTGGAGTCTGCCCAGTGGCTATTCATTAAATAGAGCAGTGCCCCCCCCTTCTTCCTGTATTCTAGTGGGGAAAATCTAATTCAGGGGTCTCCAACTTTTTGAACCTGCAGGCACCTTTGGAATTCTGACACAAGGTGATGAGCAATCACAAAATGACCACAACAGGAGACAGAGTCAAACACAAAATGTCAGGGAGAGAGGTTATATATGTCTCTAATAGTCCCTTTTCAACATTTCAGGCAGAAGCTCTGCACAGCCAATTAGAAGCCCTGCTAGGCAAACGCCTCACCTGGCCCTGCCCACTCTCAGAAAACATTAAGCACATCCCAGAGGACAACAGAAGACAGGAGGGCCTGGCATGATGTGGTCCACGGGGCCGCGAAGAGTCGGACTTGACTGTGCGACTGAACAACAGAAACAAAAAGCACCAGGAAAGGGGTCTGCGGGCACCATGGTGCCCATGGTCACCACGTCGTGGACCCCTGTTCTATTTCATCCATTTTTCACTTACCCTCTTTCACTTTTAGTTACTAGTGCGTGGACCTTTGTTTCATTTTACACATTTAAAGGAGTTCAGGTGAAGGAGAACGTCACTCAAGAAGAATAGTTTAGAGCTCTCATGGGACAACTTGTCCAAACAGAGACACGGCAGGGAGATGGAGGTGGAAATCTCCTTGCCAAAGTACTGGAAACCTTACATGGCCACGTAGGTAGGTCGAGGGATGCCTTTTAGTGGTGATGGGGGGCTTTGATACCTCCAGCTTTGTTTCCTCCTCCTCCAAGGACACACAAGAGATCTGATAGATGCCATTAAACAGATTGATATTTTCTTTTGCAAGAGCTTAAGAATTATGAAGCCAGAATGCCAGCAGGGGGTTGGGGGCTATCCAGTGTTTTGCACGGAGTGTCACATGTATGACTATCTGCCCACTGGGCAGAAGTCTTGGGTGTGTCCTCGGTGCAAGGAGCTCCTGGTTCTCAGGGAACGTGTGTGCTCCCTTGAGGCCAAGGTGGCTGACCTGGAGAAGCAGAGACAGTCAGCTAGGCACACAGAAAAGACTCTCGGGGACTTGTTAGCTACGTCCCACTCTGGATCTGGCAGCCCCGCTGCTGTCAGGGAGCATGAGGGTCTAGGGGAATCAGGGCACCGTGCTGAGGATAAGGGGAATGTGCCCTCAGAAGGGACCTCTTCCCCAGCTGGTGAGCGGCTCTCCTTTTGCACCAAGGAACCATCCCTGAGCAGGGTGGGAGGGGGGCTCTTGGTAGTGGGTGATTCGATCCTTAGGCAGGTAGACAGCTGGGTGGCGAACCCGCGTACTGACCGTATGGTGACTTGCCTGCCTGGTGCGAAGGTAGCGGACATTACGCGTGTTTTAGATAGGCTGGTAGATAGTGCTGGGGAGGAGCCAGTGGTCGTGGTGCATGTCGGCACCAACGATGTGGGGAAATGCAGTCGTGAGGTCCTGGAGGAGAAATTTAGGCTGCTGGGCAGGAAACTTAGGTCCAGGACCTCCAAGGTAGCCTTCTCAGAAGTGTTACCTGTTCCACGCGCAGGGCCGGAGAGACAGGCAGAGATCAGGAGTCTCAATGCGTGGATGAGACGATGGTGTAGGGGGGAAGGGTTCAGGTTTGTTAGGCACTGGGATACTTTTTGGAACAAGAGGGAGCTGTACAGGCGAGACGGTCTCCACTTGTCCCGAGAAGGAACCAGGCTGCTGGCACTTAAAATCAAAAAGGTGGCAGAGCAGCTTTTAAACTGAATATTGGGGGAAAGCCGACAGGAGATGAAAAGTCTCTGGTTCGGGTTGGCTCATCTGAGAGAGGTGAGGGGGTACCGGTTGCTTTTCTACAGGGAGGTGGATTGAAATTGTCCACAGAGGCCATGGCTGGTGACATGGACTGCCGGACAACGACTCGAGATAGCAAGAGGAAGGATGCAGGCTTAACTTGTAAGGGAAATTACAGCTGTTTCTATACAAATGCTAGAAGTGTCCGAGGTAAAATCGGGGAGTTGGAGTGCTTGGTGTCGGAGGGAAAAATAGACATTGTGGGTATTTCTGAAACTTGGTGGGATGAGGAAAATCAGTGGGACACAGTGATTCCCGGTTATATATTATATCGGAAGGATAGGGGGGGAAGGGTTGGAGGTGGGGTAGCTCTGTATGTCAGAGAGGGTATAAAGTCTAGAAAGATTGAGAGGCTAAGTGAATTGGATTCGCTTCTGGAAGTTCTATGGGTTGAAATAGGGGGGCCAAAAGGAAACTTAACACTGGGAGTTTGTTATCGCCCACCAGATCAAAAGATAGAGGAGGATTATAAAATGATGAATGCCTTAAAGATAGCAACTAGACAAAAACACTGTGTAATAATAGGTGATTTTAACTACCCACACATTGATTGGGTCAATATGTGTTCTAGTCGGGAAAAAGAGATTGAGTTTCTAGACACTCTAAATGACTGTGCTATGGAGCAGATGGTCACGGAACCTACCAGGGGAGAGGCGATCCTTGATTTGGTCCTAAGTAACACTCAAGACCTGGTGAGAGATGTAAAAGTGATTGCACCGCTTGGAAACAGTGATCATAATGTTGTTGAGTTCATCATTTGTACAAATAGAGAATTGGCCAAAAAGACTCACACAACCATTTTTAACTTTAAAAGGGGTAATTTCTCTGATATGAGGGGACACGTGGGGAGGAAACTGAAAGGAAAAGTAGAAAGGGTCAAAACAATTGGGGAAGCTTGGGATCTATTTAAAACTACGATCCTAGAAGCTCAAAAAATATATATTCCGCAGGTTAGGAAAGGCACAAACAGGTATAGGAAAAAGCCTGCATGGTTAACAAACAGAGTAATGGAGGCTGTAAAAAGTAAAAAGAATTCCTTTAAGCAGTGGAAAGCTAGTCACAGTGAGGCTGATAAAACGGAACACAGGCTATGGCAAATAAAATGCAAGTCTGAGGTCAGGCAGGCAAAAAGGGAATATGAGGAGCATATAGCAAAAAACGTAAAAACCAACAATAAAACTTTCTTCAAATACATTAGAAACAGGAAACCAGCCAGGGAGGCAGTGGGGCCCTTGGACGACCAAGGGGTAAAAGGAGTATTGAAGGATGATAGGGAAATGGCTGAGAAGCTAAATGCATTTTTTGCCTCCGTCTTCACTGTGGAAGATGAGAAGTGCTTGCCCACTCCAGAACCACTGATTTCAGGAGGGGTGTTGGAAGACCTGAGTCAGATTGAGGTGATGAGAGAGGAGGTCCTAAAACTGATAGACAACTTAAAAACTGAAAAATCACCAGGCCCAGATGGCATACATCCGAGAGTTCTGAAAGAACTCAAATGTGAACTTGTAGATCTCCTGACAAAGATATGTAATCTTTCCTTAAAATCTGCCTCCATTCCTGAGGATTGGAAGGTAGCTAATGTCACTCCCATCTTTAAAAAGGGTTCCAGAGGAGATCCGGGAAATTACAGGCCAGTCAGTCTGACGTCGATACCGGGTAAATTGGTGGAAACCATTATTAAGGAAAGAATTAGTAGGCACATAGATGAACAAAACCTATTGAGGCAGACTCAGCACGGTTTCTGTAAGGGAAGATCTTGTCTCACTAACCTGTTAGTGTTCTTTGAGGGGGTGAACAAACATGTGGACAAGGGGGATCCAATAGATATTATTTACCTTGACTTCCAGAAAGCTTTTGATAAAGTTCCTCATCAAAGGCTCCTAAGTAAGCTCAAAAATCATGGGATAGAAGGACAAGTCCTTTTATGGATCAAAAACTGGCTAGTTCATAGAAAACAGAGAGTGAGTGTAGGTGGGCAATTTTCTCAGTGGAGGGTGGTAAGCAGTGGGGTACCGCAGGGATCAGTACTTGGTCCACTGCTTTTTAACTTGTTCATTAATGATTTGGAGATGGGAGTAAGCAGTGAAGTGGCTAAATTTGCGGATGATACAAAGTTGTTCAGGGTGGTGAAAACCAGTGAGGATTGTGAGGCACTCCAAGGGGATCTGTCAAGGATGGGCGAGTGGGCGTCAACATGGCAAATGGGGTTCAATGTGGCCAAGTGCAAGGTGATGCACATTGGAGCCAAAAATCCTAAATATAAATACACATTGATGGGGTCTGAACTGGCAGAGACTGAGCAAGAGAGAGATCTTGGAGTTGTAGTGGATAACTCACTGAAAATGTCGAGACAGTGTGTGACTGCAATAAAGAAGGCCAATGCTATGCTGGGGATTATTAGGAAGGGTATTGAAAACAGATCAGCCAATATAATAATGCCCCTATATAAATCAATGGTGAGACCTCATTTGGAATACTGTGTGCAGTTCTGGTCACCACACCTTAAAAAGGATATTATAGCTTTGGAAAAAGTGCAGAAAAGGGCAACTCGAATGATAAAAGGGTTGGAACACTTTCCCTATGAGGAAAGGTTAAAGCGCTTAGGGCTCTTTAGCTTGGAGAAAAGACGACTGAGGGGTGACATGATCGAGGTTTATAAGATTATGCATGGGAAAGAGCAGGTAGAGAAAGAGGTACTTTTCTCCCTTTCTCACAATACAAGAACTCGTGGGCACTCCATGAAATTGCTGAGCGGTCGGGTTAGAATGGATAAAAGGAAGTACTTCTTCACCCAAAGAGTGATTAACACTTGGAATTCACTGCCACAGGAAGTGGTGGGTGCTACAAGCATGGATGGCTTCAAAAGGGAATTAGATAAGCATATGGAGCAGAGGTCCATCAGTGGCTATTAGCCACAAGGTATAGCTAGGGGCTCTGGGGCAAGTGATGCTCTGTCTTCTTGGTGCTTGGGGGGGGGTCAACAGTGGGAGGGCTTCTAATGTCCTGGCCCCACTGCTGGACCTCCTGATGGCACTGGTATTTCTGGCCACTGTGTGACACAGAGTGTTGGACTGGATGGGCCTTTGGCCTGATCCAACATTGGCGTCTCTTATGTTCTTATGTTCTTATGTAAGGTCAGACTATAGGAGTTGCGGTGGCTCAAGTGGTTAAGATGCTGAACTGCAGACTGTGGAAGGTCAGTAGTTCAGCAGTTCGAGACCCAGAGGTGCCGCATGACGGAGTGAGCTCCCGTCTCTAGTTCCAGCTCCTGCCAACCTAGCAGTTTGAAAGCAAGAAATTGCAAGTAGATAAGTAGGTACCACTTCGGTGGGAAGGCAACAGTGTTCTGTGCGCCTTGGTGTTTAGTCATGCTGGCCACATGACCACGGAAACATCTTCGGACAGCGCTGGCTCTTCGGCTTTGAAACAGAGATGAGCACCGCAACCCTAGAGTCAGACTCGACTGGCTTTTGAGCAAGGGAACCTTTACCTTTACTTAAGGTCAGACTAGATTTTGGTGCATGAAATCCAAAGCATGTGGTTAAGTACATTGGTACCAGAGATTGTGAAAAGCAGAATCGATATAACTTTTTGAAGTACTGACAGTGCTGCTATTTCACTATTTTTAAAATTTGGTCAAAAAATTAGCTAGGACTTATGAATGTAATATAATCAACATGCACACATGCATGCAACATGCATGCAACATGCACACATACTGAATTCTTGGAAATTAAATTACAGGTATCTATGGTCATGATCTATATATTCTCAGAATGCATATATCACAGTTGTTTCTCCATGCCATCTCTGGCCTCTATGGATAACTGATATACATGAAACTGATATACATAAGTATGGTGTATTTATTGCATCAGGGAATATCTGTATGATCATTAGAGTACTTCAATTACAGTTTAAAAGAATTATGCTACAATCTAGGATATCTTTACCTTTCTTGCTAGACGGTTGACGAGTACTGCATTTGAAGATGTTGTTACATTAAGTTTCTTAAAACAGAGGCCTGAAGCACTTCCAGGTGGAACCTTGAAAGACAAAGACAGAATTTTGGAGGTGACATGAAAACCAGTATTTAGTGTAGTATGTATATATAGATGTATTTAAAATGTTGTTGGAAAAATACTCACTAGTTTTCTTATTGAATTGGCACTCTGAAAAATATTATAGAAGTATGTTAGAAGAATTGCTGTTGCATAAAATAGCATAATTCCACTATGCTATAAAGGTTACTAGTTCTGTTTAAACACAGAAGATTTTGTGTAACAACTCTTAGTTAAAAGTTGGTTGGAGGTAAACCAGTGTCTTTACAAAACTAAAGTACAACAGATAGCACAAAAAAACCCTAATGTTTAATACTGGAAAGAACTGCATTTTCAGTATTTCTATTCAGCAATTTTACTTATTGTTTCCTTTCTGTAGAATCCCAACAAAATTACATACACTATGCATGTTTAGGAGTTCCAATTTTTTTATTATTATAATACACTTCGGTGAACCTTCATTTATTACAAAATTTGAGTTTACCAATACAAAAAAGCTGAGTATTAGAACGGAATACATCCAACTGATAAGCGAACCTTTAAAAAGCTCACAGAGACTTTAAGGGATTTTCTCTAAGCGTAAACAACTTCACCGATATCTGGGAGGAAAAAAAATGGTGAAGTTCAACCCTTCTTCTGGAAGTGCAAGTCTTACAGTGCAGGTCACAAGACCGGAAACAACCATAGACTTTCCCTTCATGATTGCTATGGCACTGCGCTCTCTGCTGGATCAAATGATCACCTTAAACTGCAAACTGGAAACACTCTACAAGCAGATTAAAGAGCCGTCTAAGGAAGCAGAGACAGTAGACAAAGAACTGTCAGCTGTTCCAGAAAACTGAAAATAAACAAGAAACAGAGGAGGAAAACAAGGCTACTGAAGTAGAAGGCGACTGGGAAAGTCTGGAAAAAACATCTCGAAGCCCTACAGAAGAAGACTTTGAACTCAAACTAGGAGCAGTAGCTCCAAAGATTTTAAATCCCGGATGAGACTATGAGCTTTGTGGAATTTATAAGAAAGATAAGCGTATGATCTGCGGCTCAAGAAATTTTTTGTATTGCTAACAGGCAAATGCATAAGTGGTTTTTATCTTTGTTTATCTGTAATATGCTAAACTTAAGATGAGATTTAACCTTTTTCCTTTTCTTTTTAAAGCAATATTGTAAGTGAAATTCCAATTTAAGCATTTTAAGCTAATTGACCTTGGCCCCTTGGGGTATTAGTGGTTTCTTTCCTTTCTCCCGTAGTTTGTAGAATACCCCTTCCCCATGATTTCTTGGTAGTTTTTTTAGTGTAAAAGCAATAAAAATTTATATATATAAAAAAAACACCTAGAACACTTAATTTTGCATCATATTACAAGTCTCCTACCTGGTTAGTGGGACATTTTTCAATATGAGCCACAATAATTTCCGTAGGTAACTTGACTAAAATGTAGGATGCTACTTTATATAGCGCAACATTATTTCCATCAAATGTAATAATACTCAATTCAGACAGGACAGAGCATTGACCTAAGAAAGAACTGGCAGTTAATAAGATCATCACTAAACAGGGCATTTCTTGTTTTACTCCATAATAAAATTGGGTTGCACTTACCTGTAACTGTTGTTCATCAAGTGGTCTTCTGTGCAGGCACATATGGGGACTGCGCTTTCTCAGGCTGGCCATGAAGAGGAGCTACCAAGCTTTATAGAGAAGGTTCTAGAGCGCAAAAATGCTCCCCGTCCCCTCCGTCTTCAGTGTAGCCTTTCCCACCCAAAGGTGGGAAAGCAAACCAAAGATCTCTGTCCAATAAGGGGAGGACTTCCTTCAGGGATAACATCCTGAACTTTGGAATATGTAAGCATTTATTCAGGGCCCTGAGGTCCAAGATAGTCCTCTTTCCACTCCCTTTTTTGTCTATTGCAAAGTATCTCAGAAAAAATACTATAACACTGTAGTTTGGGGAAACCCTTGCGATGCCCCCCCCCCCTTTAGTAATAAAACAACCTCTTGAGTGAGAAAAGTCAAAGAGTAAGTATGTGGATGACCTAAGAGGCAGTTGGTGAGATGGCAGAGAGTGGAATTCCAAAAAATAAAAAAATAACCTGTATTTATTATTGATAACACTCAGGCATCATTTGTAACTGGTGATCAAAAACCAGAAAACATGGACAATCTATCCAGAAAGATGGTCTCGCCCACTAGTCTGGTGTTAAAGCGTTCAAGGCCTGAATCCTGTGAGTCCTCAGGGGAGTTGCACACAAGTAACCAGACTGTTGTTTATTATAAAAGGGTTTATAAAATTTATTATAGATTCAATCAATTTCAAAAGTTTACTGAACAGACAATACTTTACTCTAAAATCATGCAGCAAAAAACCAAGAAAGACTAGCTTGTCTAACACTTTTTGGTATCTTCATTAGACAGCACAAACCTTGTTCCAAAATCACAGGCCCAATGTTCAGGAATTCTCTACATTGCTAGCAACTGCAATTCAAGCAAGTCATAGTTTAGGTCTGCAGTCCATCAGAATCTCAGCTTGTCTCTCTCTCCTCTGGGTCTTAGCTGAATTATAGTTTTTGGCCCAGTAATATCAGCTGAGGGTGACATCCAATCAGAAGAAGCTTCTAGAAGATTACCTCATAACCCCTGGCTCGCCTCCCCCCATCCTACAGCCGGCAGGTTCTCATGAGAATCATGTCACCTTCATCTCTGGCCTTGAAGATGATAAAAACTGTACAGGCTGAGAGACCCATTAGTAACACCTGCAGGATGAACTAGGCCCGTTACTACCCAAATTAACCCTTGAGAAGCAGCCAGGGGTGCTTTACCTCACATCAGAGCATTCCCAAACCTTTAGGTTGTTGATCCCTGGGAGATGGGGAGGGTTGCCTATTTCTGCTTCTATTCTGCTTCATACCCTGGGACTGCTGGGAGTAAGGATGTCTATAGGATTGTTAAGAGGATGGAGGGGCTTGGTACTTATGCTCAGAGTACCTAAATGGCCTTGAGTAGTGAAATCTTTGGGAGTTTCTGGGCCAATACCTCTGCTTATTCTGCTGGTTAGCACAGAGGGTGATACCGAATGACTTCACTGTAATCCTATACTTTTGGATACAAACTAGGACTTCATCCATCTGGTCACTGAAGAGCTCTCTGCTCTCAAAGGGGAGGTCTTCAATTTTGTTCCTGGGATCTCATCCAGGAATATCTCCTTATAACAACCCCTGAAGCCGTAGCCCTACTGGCAGTAGTCTGTTTCTTGCTACTGTATTTAGAAGACTGAGATGGTGGATAGCATGGAGGAAATGGCTGCTGGCCCCATGAGCCCCAGTGTGGGGAACGTCATGGAAAAGGGAACCAGGGGGTATTTTGTGGCAGCTCTTGATTTGAGGTTCCCTCCATCTTGTCCTCATTGCACTGGAGGTTGCACTGGCGGTATTTCAAAAACTTCCTGGTCCGAAAATCTCAGAGACTGGTGGCGTTGCCCCGAAGGCAATGCAGTTCTTGGTCTCAGGAAGAAATTGATATCGATCGGTATCTGTGATTATCAACGTTGAGGTGACATCGAAGCATGATTGGTCAGCAACAATGCACGGTTCCTAGACTCTGCTTGGGAGCCATGATGACCCGCCAATTCATGTGAAGCTTGACATCAAGGCAAGGGGAATTGTTCATGCCGAGGCGACAGTGAATGGCACAGTGAGGCATGATGCGGATGTTTCACCTTTTTCTTCAATTTTTTGTTGGCAGCTCTGCGGCCAACCGAGTTATGGTCTATTTTTTAGGCAGCTGTGGCATCGAGGGGGCCAGTACTGAGCATACCAATGGGGCCTTTGATCTTTTTTCTAAGCTTATCTGAATTTTGGCCTGGGGCTCCCAAAGCTTTTTCCTACGAAGCCACTTTGAGTCTAGCCAGTCTCCCTTCTCTAGCTTTCGGCATGATGTGGGGGCAGGCCAGGCATGAGGCAGTATTGTGACCTTCACCCAAACATTTTCTTTTTCAGAAGGCTCATCATTTTGCACCATTTTGGCTCCACATCCCTTGTACTTCTTAAAAAGTACCATCCTATCCTTTATTTTGAAGAAGAGATGAAGAAATTCAGTCAGAAGCACTGAGAGATGTTGTTCACAGTAGCTTGCTATAGTATGTCCTCTCCTTATGGCAGCAAGAAGAGAACTGAGTGCTCATCCCTCCTCCGTCACATGACCCTTTGGGCAGGAAAGGCTAAGTTGAAAATGGGGGGAGGGGGAACACTCTTGGGCTCTAGAAACCTCTCTGTAAAGCTTGCTAGCTCCTCTCTATGGCCGGCCTGAGAATGCGCAGTCCCCATGTGGGACTGCACAGAAGCCATGAAGAGCTAGACTACCATTATTTCACATACTGACATGTGCAAAAAGCCAATGGAATTGTTACTCATCAAATACTAGTTCTACAGCAAAATATATAATTATATTCAAGGAGCATCATACAGCTGGTTTACACATTACAAAATTATTAGATACACCAGTGGCTGATTTTGTAACTGGTGAGGCAACTTTTAGATGAATGAAAGGAAATCATTTACCATTAAGAAGAGAAGAAGAGAAGAGATTGGATTTATACCCCGCCCTTCACTACCCAAAGGTGTCTCAGAGCAGCTTACAAACTCCTTTCCCTTCCCCTCCCCACAACAGACACCCTGTGAGGTAGGCGGAGTTGAGAGAGCTCTGACAGAAACTGCTCTTTTTCAAGAACAGCTCTTATCAGAACTACGGCTTGCCCAAGGTCATCCAGCCAGGTGCAAGTGGAGAAGTGGGGAATCAAACCCGGTTCTCCCAGATTAGAGTCTGCACACTTAACCACTACACCAAAATGGCTCTCGGAACGTGAGTTCCGAGTTAAGTGCTCGGAACGTCTCTAGTGTCATATCAAGTATGTATATTGCCTCATTTTACCTTCTTTTCAATATATGTGTTTGCTTCTCTCTAAAAACTAAAATAAAATGTTGGTGTCGCATCTGCCCTCAATTTTATACATTACTGCCACCAACAGCTCTTTCATGGTAGATGACGAGGGGCAAATGGTCCTTCCCTCCACCATGCGCTTCAAAGAAAGTGAGCCAGGACCTTCATGTCAATCATAGATTTCAAGCTTTCACATCTAAAAACATAACCTACTCCATGCAGAAACTTACAAGGGCACTCCCATTCTGGGCAGCAGCTGTCACTGTTAACCTGGACTGGCATCCCTCGAAAACCACAGTCAGGTTTCTCCACATTTTTATGACAGTTCCTTGAGAGATTGTAGAGCATCCATCCCATATTAATGCACACGTATTGACTGCATCTGTCTACTGGATCAAGATACCTTGGCTGTTCCATAATAATGGGGGGGGGGGGAATTGAAACATTAGCAACCAGCCTTTATATCATGAACCAAGATTCACCATTATCACATAATACAGACTCTTTCTAGATAATTCCATTTGGTACCAGTCCAATCTGAGAACAGTGTGGTCTGAACTTGTATGCTTGTAGAGCAGTTGCCTTATGATAGACAACAACAGTATATGAATGAGTGTCAGTGGATGGCTAAAGTGGCCTTAGTAAAATATCAGAATTCAGTCCCATCGATATCTAATGACACTGCTGCCCCATATTGCGCATGGAACTGAACTATTTCCGGAGACATAGACCCATATTTGGCCAATGTTAAACTGAATTTGAAGCATCTGAAATCACATTTAAAAAATTTCACAAGAAGATTCCCTAGAGTTTTTGCTTTTGAATAACATCAGGCAGCACTCAGGAATGAAGAGTGGCTGCACACCATTAGTACCACAGCATAAGTGACAGACCAGGAAGTAATTACCATGTTGATTTCCCCAGAGATTATATAATCAATAGCTGAATATAGGTGTTGATGACAGAAAGGCTTGTGAAGCATACAGCTATGTGAATGAGTGCATTCTGGCATTCCAAAGCACAATGTTTACAATGCTCAGGTTATTGTATATACACTCAAACTAAATTGAACCAAACCAAACCAGAGCTACTAACATCCATTACAAAATGAGAATCTAATATTCACCCTGACCTGGATAGCTCAGACAAGCCCAATCTCAGAAGCTAAACAGGGCCAAACCTGGCAAGTAATTGGAAAGGAGACCTCCAAGTAATAGCAGGGCTCGGGACCAATGTTCCCTCTAAGCTGTGGAGTCTTGTGAGCAAAAATTCTACTTTGTGAGCTAGTGGCATTAAAGGTGAGAGTGAGCAATTTGGCTACTGCATAAACTAGTTTGCTCTGGAGCCATCCTTCCTGAGCTAAGACAAAAATGTGTCAGCTGGAGGCTAAAGAACTGTGAGCTAGCTCACACTAACTCGGTTTAGAGGGAACACTGCTTGGGACGCAGAGGCTGGCTATCAAACCACCTCTCTGAAAAACATCCAAGCCCCCAGTAGGGGCAACCAGCTTGCCATGACTTCCAGGCATGCAAGCACACACACACACACACACACACACACAAATACCCATACCAAATAATGAGAACCTAACATTTTAAACTGAGGCTTGAAATTTCAGCATATTTATTTATTAGATAAAGCACAGTATGTCATATAGAAAGATACCTACATTCTATTCCAACAGTCTAGTGAATGTGCTTAGGTCAAAGGGATAGGCCTCCTGTTGTGATATAACCCTCTGACCTTTCTTCCACAATAATGCACTCACTCTACATAAAGATTCCCCAAAGGGTTTCTTAGTATTCTCCCAGAAAACTGTTAGTCTGGTTCAGCTCCACTGGGATGCTATCTGTATAGGAATATGCAATAAGCTATTCGACAACATAGGAAGCCATTTCATTGCTTATCATTGTCCAGGTTGATACCTGCAACAATTCCAGCATGTCAGCGCTGAATACTTGAAGAAAACCAGGGGCTAAGAAGCCAGCTGGTTTAGCCCATTCCACAAACTGTGGAATGTACCTTAAGATTCCTCAATTCACATAAGCATTTCTCTTGCAGAGCAATTGTCTTTATTATATGCAGACAGTAAAGTGAAATGCTATGTTGACTTTTCCAGGCACTACACTGTCAACAGCAGCATGTAAGACATGGTAGTAGAAAAATTTGGGAAGTATGTGGTTATGTGAATACATGTTCACTAAATTGATATTTACTACATGGATATTTACTAAAAAGGGAATGTTTCTGGCTTGTGTAGCTGCAGAGGGCCCACAGGAATGTGCCAAGGCAGCATAGGATTAAAAAAAAAGATGTGAAATTGACTCACTAGTAATTTCAGTGGGGGGGGGGATTTCATTTTTTTCAAACACACACATATATTTCTGGATAATTTGATTCTCCCTTCCTGTAATCATATATCCTGTTTTCGTAACACTGGTCCACTCTCTCCAACTTTCCACCACAACAAAAGAGCTTAAATTCTGAAGGAAAACTTCTAACCCAGGGGTGTCAAACATGTGGCCCGCAGTGGAACTGGCTGTCTTCTGCTCCTGCTTCCAGTTCTGCTGCCACTGCGTCATCGTAGGTTTGCAGCTTACAGATACACACCTGAACAGCATACTCAAGATTGCAACAGCACAGACATTTTGATGCAATAATTCAGAGCAAGAGGTGTCAGTTATCAGACACTGTTAAATAAACAAAACATTGCAATAGTGCTAATGTTTTAAGCGTGTTTTTATTTTAAGTAAAAAAAACCTTTGTGTTTGTGACCTTTATAAAGTTTATATCTACGCTACCTGGCATTACATTTTATGACACACATGGCCCAGCCCAACAAAGTCTCATTTATGTCAGATCCGGCCCTCATAACAAATGAGTTTGACACCCCTGTTCTAACCAATAAAACATGTGCAATTTATCACATTTGTGTAACTTATTTCACATGTAAATTTGAATATCTGAGCTAAAGAATATTAATTTAATGGTAGGATTCTACATTCCCTTTTGTGGATCTGGTCAAATGGACCTGTCAGAGAATATTTGGGAACCTGATTACCAAAGACTGAAAATTCCTATTGTCCTGTAGAACAATACACACCTTTTATGGGCAAAGTTCTTTGGGGATTACTGCTACTTATTACTTTCTAATAACCATATACTTTCAACATGTAGACTTTCTGGGCAGCTTCCAATATTAATCCTTAAAAACAACATCAATCAAATATGGAAAAAGCATACCCAGGAATGTACTTGTATACATTATCTTTAAGAAGAGCTGACTATGAGAGCAACAGAAGAGAAAAGATTAATACAAAAACAGTTATACTCAGTTAAACAAAAGACAACAAGCTGAGAATTCTTTGACATAATCTGATGCAATAACATTTAAAAATAACATTTCAGAAGAAGATTTTCTAGTAAAAAGTAAAAGTTTCCCTACCGTGCATTCTGGTGATGTCGCAGATATTAAGGTATGTATCATAGTGCCAAATGAAGCATGTTCCACACTATCTGTTGTCACAATTTCTGTTTCAGCTTGAATTCCCTCAGGCTCTGTAGTGGAGTAAGGTGAATCTGTTATCGTGACATTCTGCAAGCTGGCTATTTTCACGTGCTCTGGTTCAGTTACATTGTAGTAAGGTCTAATTGATTTTGGTGGTGGAACTCTAGACCAGTCTGATAATGTTATATCCGTCACTTTAGAAAAAGAGACTGGTTTCACTGAAACTGTGCTGCTTTCATTTACAGACGGAATCATCTGGATGGGAGACATTGTCAAGGGAAGTAGTGAAGGTTCTTCAGGGCTCACATATTTAGTCTCTGTAACATGTTCTTTAACTTCTGAGGTCTGATTACTTTCTAAGGCATATGCAGTTTTCCCAATAGATGTTGCATTTCGCTTTGCCCAATCTGATACTGTAATTTCATCCATTTTTATGGCTGTAGTTCTGAACGTTTCTGTGGAGGGCTTGGGTGTAAACAAAGTAAAGCTTGGAGTATATGTACGTATTTGGGAGGTAGCAGGAACTGGGACTGAAGTAGTAGTTGTATAAAGTTCAAAGCTGATAGAAGAAAGGTCAGTGACTTGTGCAGTTTGGCTAGGAACTATTGTGCTGGCAGAGGAAACTAATAAATGTACCGGAGAACTAGGGGAATCCTTTTCAGTGATGTCAGGTGAGGCTGATGTAGTATTCCAAAATGTCAGTGCTGCCTCTGCAGACTTAGTGTCCAGACCACTTGATAATGAAGATAATGTCCTACTGTCTGGTGAAGCCAAAGAGGAACTTCTTGTTCCTAATGGCTGTATTGTCATATCTGAGATCTCAGGAGGAGGTGACGATGCAGTATCTGTTGCAGAGACACCTGTGCTTGAAGTTAACAAAGGAATAACTGTAGGAAAATATGCAGGATATGAACCTGGACTTCTTGAGGTAGTATGCATACCAAGAGATACAACTGGTGTTTGTATGCGAGTGCCTGCTGGTTTTACAGCAGACTTCACACTAATTGTGGGAGTAGCGGATGAACTTTCAGAATGAGTTTCTGAGGCAGAAGTCTGAGGAGCAGAAGATCTTGTTGTTGATAGCAGTGTGAGCAATGGAGATGGACTTGTAAGAGCAGATAAGGTTCCTGGGAACTCTGTAGAAGTCAGATAAGTGTCTGAACTTTTAATCACAGAAGCAGTTTTTAATTCTGTGTATAGATCAAACAAGTGCATAGTTGCCTTAGATGTTGTTTGTGGTGTATCGTATGAAACTGTTACAGGTAATGTTGAGGTACTACTAGGTAAAGCTCTAGTTCTAGCAAATTCTGCTGAACTTCCATGAACAGCTGATACTGGAGATGAATCAGTGTGTAATGTATGTTTACTTAATGTTTTAGAGGTTTGGGGAATGCCTGGAAGAGACTCTGTAGAAGGCCCTATATGAAAACTCTTTGAGACAATTGTGACTTCTCCTGTTGCTTTGGGTCTTTGTGTTGTAATTGGAGGAGGCACTAATGTAGGCATCATGTATGTCTCTTTGGGACTCAGTGAAGGCCATATGGATGTAGGTGTCTGTTCAATAACTGAAGATGATGTCCTGATTTTATCTTCAATAACAGAAACATGTTTTGTAATTAAGGGTATAATATGTTCAGAAGGGGTCAGGAGTGCTTTTAGTGATGCAGATGTAGGCATGAAAGTATCAGTTGGTATTTGTGAGGCAGATTGTACTGTCACCATATCTGAAGCTGAGGGTATATGATGAGGACTTGTTGCAAATGTAGTGAATCTAGAAGTAAATAAGGGACTCTCAGATGTAGTTAGCTCAGAAAGAGAGAATGGATAAATGTGAGGATGAGCCTCAGTTGACCTACTTCTTGAAATCACAGAAAATGTTTGTGTTAAAGGTGAACCTGTAAAAAACATGGGACTTGAATAAGTTGTTCTTTCAGTTAATAAATATTGTGTGGCTGCCCCTGGTGTCTGAGACTGGCTTGTTGCTAGACTTCCAGTAGTTAAGATGCTTGTAGGAATTTTAATAAAGTCTGATCCAAGGGGTAGAGTGGCTAATATAGCCAAAGAGGTTGCATATTCTGATGGTATAGTAGATGCTGTGGTTATTAAAGGAAAAGCAGGAAATGATGACACGGCTATAGTTGAAGGAGGCAGTGAGATAGAGAATGAAGGGGTTATGCTATACGATGTTTCTTTTAAGGTAACTGCTGTGACTTTTGAAGCGGTTGGGGATATAGGTCTAAGTAGCACTGGTGGGCTTGTAATGCTGTAGCTGACTTCAGAAGGTCGTTCTGGAACTGTTCTGGAATCAGTTAAATACATGCTTGACACAGCTGAATCTGTAAGTAATTTTTCTGTAGCACTTGTTCCTTTTAATGTTGTAACTCCTTCCATTGTAATTTTGGTAGTTAGATTAATGTGTGTTGGCTCAACCCCTTCAGTACCAAACATAGTAGATATCGGAGAAAATATTTCTGTGGTCTGTTTGGTGACAGGAACAGATTCTGTGGGTTTTATAGGTATGCCTGTGAAGAGAATAAACCTCAGCATTAAATCGATGGTAATGAAAAGGAAGAAAAGGGGAAGAGGGATCAATTCAAACTTCCTAAAACTTAAAGATAACAAGATGTAGTATCAGGACTCTGTGCACAGCACTAGTACTGGATGCAGAAATCCATTGAAAGTAACTGAATATTCAGCACTGTTTTGGGCACATAGTTCATAAGGGGATGTGTGTGTGTGAAAATCTAGTTCTAAATATGTCTTACCTTTGATGGTTAGAGAGAACAGCAAAAGTAGCTTCCACTATCTTTATATCATAATTTTAGATATATCTATCTTGGCAGCAGTACATTTAATAAATATTTTAAAAACCATTTAACTAGCAAAAAATAAAGTTACCAACATATTAGGTGGACTTTTCATTTCAAAATTAATAGTTCAATCATGTGCATATTTACCTAGAAGTCTCACTATACCCAGAATTAAACTTTGTTGGTCTTAAAGGTGCCACTGGACTCAAACTTTGTTCTATTGCTTCAGACCAACATGGCTACCCACCTGAATCAGTTCACTGGGAATTAAGAAAATGTGGCATAACAGTCCCGTGTAAATTACTTTTAATCGGTCAGAAATAGCACATAAAAAGCAGTTTGCACAGGCTGAACTACCTAAATTGCTTTTTGAACATGCGCTAAGTATATATTAGTCAACAATACTGATATTATATAGCACAATTTAAAATCTTGTTCAACAAAACACAGAATACGAACACTGTACAGTATGAGTATACAGTATCCAACAATTCCACTCAGCTAATGGTTCCTCTGGCACAAGGAGTCTTCCTGCACCAGTGGAAGAGCATCTTGCATAGTACGAAGGCTCCTTGTGCTGAATGGAATGGCAGGATTCTACTCAACATAATTAAAACATTGTTGATAACCAGTGCACAGTTCATTATTGTAGTAATCCAGGAAAAAGATGTAGTGGGCACTTACAGTCTTCTGGGTTAACACATTTAAGTGTGACTTCATCGAGAATCATATCCTTAGGGCAATATGGTAAGCATCCCTCAACTCTACAGATTTAAAAAAATGACATGAGTAATTATTTCAAATACACATATTTTTTACATAATTCAAACTACATGATTCAGCCAAGATACAGTTGATCCTTTGAAGGCTTGAATTCTGTTAACTCTTAACAAGCCATAATTTGCTCATGACAGTAGAAGATATTTTCATAAGAGCTATTGGAAAACTCTAACCATTGACTAATATTAAAGATAAGCACCTTTGGTTCACCATGAGGTGAAGAAAGGTAATATAAAATTGTTTTAATAAATAAAGTTCTAATGTGGATTCAGTATTCATGGGTCTGTGCAAACAATTCTTCTCCCACAAACTTCTATGCAGAAGAAGATTGGAACAGGTCTTGAGCAATTATACACCATCCCAGATTTATACACACACATGGCACATGATGAGAAAGAACCAAGTGAAATGAGAGATCCTATGAATGTTTGAACATGGGATCTCTCTGATCTTGAAACAAAGCCTGCTAAAATCTATTCTCAACAGTTTCTGCCTTACAAGGTAAGGAAATATGCACATTCAATTAAGCACATGATCTCTCAGTACCCTCAGACCTTTCCTTGTGTTGAAGGAAGTGGAGGAGAAAATCACAAATGTGATATGTGCTCACAATCTCCCCTTTAGAACTGTCTGACCCAGTAAAAAATGTTCTATACCAGGGGTGTCAAACATAAGGCCCACGGGACAGAACTGGCCCAACTTGGGCTGTTATGCAGCCCTATGATGCAAGGAAGGGAACAGGAGGCTGCTCAGGGGTGGGTGGGCAGAGCCACTCCAATTGTGGCTTCAGCACAGTGGGACAACCTTGTCTGCAGCAGTCAAGCAGAACACTTTCACTTCAGGGACTGGTAAGTTGCGAGCCACTGGAGCTGTATTCATATATCTCCACCCAGCCTGCAGCTCCAGGGATGCTGTCATGGATCAGCATTTGCACATGGAGGGGGCAGTCAATCCTCTGTTGGGGCATGGGAGCATTTGCCCAGCACTGCACTGCTGGATCTCCAGTCTGCCCATGTGGGTTTTCCTCAGCACCCCCTCCCAGCCCACGGGGCCTTGTAGTGGGGACACACACCAACTCGGAGCTTACCAGTTGCTGTTCTTTATAAAGTTTATATCTCTGGCACCTAGTATTATATTTTATGGCATGCATGGCCTGGCCCAACAATGTGACATTTATGTCAGAACCAGCCCTTATAACACATGAGTTGGACACCTCTGTTCTATACATTAAGATACATTTTAAGTAGCTCTTTGTCAAAGTTGTAAACTAATAAAAATAAACAAAATCTAATTTAAAAACCATGATTCTTAGAATTACTGTAGGTAGTTAAGCATACCGCCCTGATCTGGATAGCCCAGGTTAGCCTAATCTTGTCAGATCTCAGAAGCTAAGCAGGGTCGGCCCTGGCCAGTATTTGGAAGACAGGCAGTGATGCCCTGCATTCTTAAGTGGGAGAACTTGTGGAGTTCCTGATCGCGCCTGGGTTTTGGCCAATGTGTTACTCAGAGTGCTGGGAGACCATCAAGGAAGTCTGGGGTTGCTACGTAGAGACAGGCAATGGCAAACCACCTCTGAACGTCTCTTGCCTTGAAAACCCTACAAGATCGCCATAAGTCGGCTGTGACTTGATGGCATTTTCCACCACCACCAGTAGGCATACAGCAGAAAATTATACAATGCACTAGCTTTATTAATTACAACTATTTATAGTTTCATTGAACTCACGGTGGGAGAAATTTACATGCTATTCCTTCAGGATCACTGCATGTTTTAACACAAGGACTTGAACAAGGTTCATATCTCCACTCACACATTCTCCTGTAAGGTATTGCTGCATGAAGCTCTAAGAATCAACCAAAAAACAAAAGCAAACTATTTCACAAGTGGATACAAACTTTTATAATATGAATGTAATTGCTAGCAGAGCCCATGGACTGGTCATTATGTGAATGACTCTGGGGGATCCTAATACAGCATTAAATCCTAGTTTGGAAGAAAGGATGTAATTATAGCTTGTTTGTATGTAATGAACATAAATCCAGAAAGCTTTGGTTAATTGGTCATGCACATGAGAAAGAGAACAGAGAAGAGGTGAGGTGAGGAGGAAGTACACTCGCCTGAGAATCCCACTGGCTCATATTTATAGTGTCAACCCATAATTTTTTATTAGTCTTGAATGATGTCTAACTCTAAGCCATTAAATACAACGGGACCACGGAGATACTAAGTACAATAACAAAAACAAAATACACCGTGGAGAGAATGTATTGCTCAAGGTCAAATACCACTAAAGCGTTACTTAAAGGCATATGTCTCAAACATAGTAAATAAGAAAATCATGCATGGAGATTAAACTATAAATCTTTTAGTATGATCCACAGGTATTTATTGCTTATTAAAGTACAAAAGCTATGAAACAAATACACAAATATAAAGAAATCTTCCTAAAGTAAGACCAATAAATGGGCTGTATGCAGTCCTTAAAAACACTGTAATCTTCTTTGCTGTTTCTTAGTTTCAAACTTTCAGATCTGCAGGGAGGCTTTGCCATAAGGACTAGGAGTGTAACAAGCCCTTGTGGGAGTATGATAAGGCATGCAAAATATGTAAACTGTGTGGTTCCATAAGAATATATTGGCTCTGAAGAAGCTGAATTGAAACTCTCTTGGCCGTCAGGAGACGTCAGCCCGGTTTCTCAGCCTCCCATTTACTGGACTCATATTTATGATTTTTATGGGGTAGTTGTACAGTAACTATTGATACTCTAATATAAGAAGTGGCACATTAGCAGTGTCCCATCCCTAGATTATATGACACTTACCCTCTATACTGAAGCTGCTTGAACGTTTGAATTCTTCAGAGTCATCATATTTTGAAACTTTCACACCAGTTGTGCTGAGTATAATGAAAAATCCTTTCTTGCTATGCAATTCAAAGGCACTGTAACCTGGGATCCAAAGGCCCTGATGATGGAAGAAAGTAGCTCTTCTACGAAACGATGCACTTGTTTCCCACTGTTCTAAGCAAACACTTTCATTGTCAGGGACATATAGAAAGTAGTTAGGTCTTTCAGCAGACTCAAGGGAAACCAGAGATGGAGCTGTGGCAAATAAAATACAAAGCAAGAAGTAGTAAGATTCCAGTATCAAAAACTAAAATTCACAGACGATATACCAGCAGACTCATTATCAGAATACACACTTTGCATGCAGAAAGGCCCATGTTCAGCCTGTGGCATCATCAGTTTAAGAATCTCAAGTAACAGATGATGGGAAAGGTCCTTTCTGTGCCAAAGAGAACACTAGAGAACTGCTACCAGCCAGTTTAACAATAATGGGCAAGGTGCACTAATGGTCAAACCTCACAGGCAGCCTCATATATTGTTATGTATATTAATAAGAAATTGTTTTGTGCCAGTGTGGTTTTGGCCAAATTATCTAAACATCTGGTAACAACATATTTTAAAACATCCCTTTTCATAGGGATCACTGTATTCCATTCTATGCCTAGACTAGCCATGGGTGAACTTGAAATTCAGGTTTCATTCATATAAAGATGTGGCTATTATATTCCCAGGTGGTGCGCAAATATTTTCAGTAAGATCTTCCAGAATGTATTGTAAATACTGTATCTCATTGTTGGGGCAAGGAGTCTGAAAACTGACTCATTCATTTTTCATTTTTTCATTATATGAAAGTCAAAACATTAAATGCAGTCGTGTATTTTGGAACACTTGCGGAAAAACCCGCATAATTGCAAGTCGACTTTAAGATTATATTATGCTTCTTCCCTCAATCAGGGAAAGAATGGCAACATTCAAACAGCACAATAAACTGTATTTTGTTTAAGCGAGAGCTTGTTACACAAACCTTGGTTAGTCCATCAAAAGGTATATAACAGAGCACAATTTGTATGTAAATCTTAACAAGTCAGCTTTCTTGTCTGCTTTCCAGTGCCTCAAATGGAATTCCTGCTAAACTAAGACTTCCCAGAAGTTATTACTTGACTGCCCTGACCTGCATTGACCAGGCTAGCCCGATCACAGAAGTTAAGCAGCATCAGCCCTGGTTAGTACTTGGATGGGAAACCACTAAGGAAGTCCTAGGTTGCTATGCAGAAGCAGGCAATTGCAAACCATCTCTTGCTTTAAAACACGCCCCCCCCCCCCCGGAGTTGACACAAGTTGGCTGTAACTTGATGGCACTTTCCACCACCATTACCAGGCATAGCCTCACTACATATGCAGCTTGCTTACTATGGGACAGAGTGTTCTATGAAATCATAATGATAGTTTAATGCAGCTAGACCTGACGGGATTTCTGTTGCTCTGTGCTTCTTTTTCTGTATGCAGGAGGCTAAGAGTCATCGGGTCCTGGGGGGGGGAGGTCTGTTTTCTAATTTAGACATGTCAGACTTCATAAAACCACATTTAACAAGCCTGTTACAAACCATCAGTTGAAACCCAACAGTTTGTTGGGCAGCCTACATTCAATAAACCTGAATTTAATCAAACCATAGTTTATAAGTTGTGATTTACTATAATGTCTGAATGCAACCAATGCTTTTATATATGAACACAGAATGTTTTTATTTTATGAATATAGAAAAAGTAAAAACAAAAATGTAAATAAAATATCAATAATGCAGAAATAAAATTGGTCTCATTAACAGTTAAAGCATTTCTCTCTTCTTTCAACTGTACATAGTTATAACTTCTCCTACCACTTTGTTTTTAGGACTACCATCTCTAAATGTATCCAAATTTTAGAAATTATGTTAGAAAACTAATCTATGATGTTGAAAAAGTAACATCTTTTGTAATTTCCAAAACCTGAGGCTTAATTATACTCCATTCTGAAAATATACTCACACAATATTTTATCTTTAAAAAGTCCTGGAGTTAGCATAAAATTAAAATATACGTTTCCATTCATACTAATCCTAGGCAAAGGGAATATCTTTCTGCTGCTGATGTTGACACCTATAACTGTGTCATTCTGACCGTAGCTTGCCAAAATATATGGTCCTTCTCCAAGGCCTAGGGGGAAAATGACAATAAAATATTGAAAGCAAAGGAAAAGCAGGCAATTAAAAAGATAAAAGGCTCACTTATGCCTCCTCTGATGCATCCTAGAACTCATCTGTACTGATTCCTGCCCCACCAATTTTCTCTCAAAAAGAAGGAACACAAGCTGGACTTGTTTTCCCGTTAAACCCCTCCTGACCTGACAAGATCCAGTTTTTGTTTTCTTCCAATCTATGGATGGACTGCACTTACAAGCCTGCTGTTTGCTGGCTAAATATTGTAGGCTCCAGAGGTAGAAATCCAACTTTGACGCTCAGTTCTCATCTTGATACCGATACCTAGTGTTGCTTTTATATTAACTGGCATGTCTTGCATGAATCTTCACTTTACTGGGATTCTGAATATTAAACCCTTCACAATCACTTTTTCATACTGCAGCAGATTTTGCCTAAAGTCTAAGGTTTACTGACCTTGAAACCTGATCTGCCAACTGAACAGTTCCAAAACAATGATTAATATCTTGTTATTTTTATATTATACCTTATCTCAGTCTGATTCTTTTAGATATTTGTAGAACAGTCTAGCAAGCAGAGCTATTAGTAAATAGAAAGTTTGTACATTTACCATGAGTTTCCCTTCTTAGTGGTCCTTGGATGGGGCAGGTTTCAGTAACGGGAAGAAGCTCCTCCCTGGAGACAGGCAGGGTCATGAGTCTTTTTCAGAACCCATCCAATTCCCATAACTATAAAACACACTAACTCCAGACAGCCATAAATATGAAAGCAAATGTAGTGATGTGTAAAAAATGAAGACAGAGAGGAGAAAATCCAATGGACGAACTACAAAAGGCCTGAAACCATATCGCTAGACTGGTCCCAGAACTCCACGTTAGAGTGTCCTTTTGGGACTGCAATTCATGGTAGATAAAACTGCTCCATACTAGGATCACTGAGAAGGGAAATTCCTGGTGGTAAGTGAACAAACTTTCCATTGTTCAGTGTTCAAGAGTGGGGCAGTCTTCATTAATGGGATATAGAAAAAAATGTATCCCTGGGGTGGCTGGTTTCTGAACCATTCACTCTGTCATGACCCGCTGAAGTAACCTTCAACCAAAGGAAGTACCTGCTGATGCCCACCTATCAATTCAATATTGATGTGTAAAGTTAAGTACTGACTTCCAGGGTGCTGCTTTACACATTGCTTCCAAGGATGGGAAAACCATACCCACTGCTGAAATGGCTGCCCCCCTGAGTGAACAGGCAGTAACTCCCACTGGGGAATCATTCCCCTTGATGAATAATCCAAGGAATGGAACCCTGTATCCACCTACCCAAGGCTGATACAGAGACTTTAGTTTCCAAGGATGCCCTTCTGAAGGAAACAAAATAGAATCTGTCTTCCTAAATGCTTTGGTCCTGTTCATATAAAAAGTCAGAGCCTCACATCCAGGCAATGCTATTCCATTTCCTGGGGGTGTATTAGGACAGAAGGAGGGCAGCATTATTTCTGCTGACTTGTGGAAAGAGGACTTTATCTTAGGGATAAATGTGTCTATCTATCATCCCTCTCTCTCCCCTCCTCTGATTTCTATCCCACCCTCCCCTGCAAGCCACACCAGCTAATCACTATGGAAGATTCAGAGGTTCATATGTACAGAGAGGGCATTAAGATCAGACAACCCTGAAAGGAGAAGTTATTCCCAGTCAAATATAGTTTTAAAGGTGAGCTGTTTAAACGGGCATTTAGCCATAGGTTCAAAGGACACCCTATTTAGAGTCTTCATTTTCCAAATAGGAAATCTGTGGGACACTGGAGGATTTAGCAATGCAACTTTTCATAAAGGACCTCATCGAAGGCAATGCAACTTTTGATAAAGTTCCTCATCAAAGGCTCTTAAATAAGCTCAATAGTCATGGGATAAAAGGACAAGTCCTCTTGTGGTTCAAAAACTGGCTAATTAATAGGAAACAGAGAGTGAGTATAAATGAGCAATTTTCTCAGTGAAGGGTGGTAAGCAGTGGGGTACCTCAGGGATCTGTACTGGGTCTGATGCTTTTTAACTTGTTCATTAATGATCTAGAGTTGGGAGTAAGCAGTGAAGTGGCTAAATTTGCGGATGATATGAAATTGTTCAGGATAGTGAAAACCAGTGAGGATTGTGAGGCACTCCAAAGGGGTCTGTCGAGGATGGGCAAGTGGGTGTCAATGTGGCAAATGGAATTCAATGTGGCCAAGTGCAAAGTGATGCACACTGAGGCCAAAAATCCTAACTATGAATACACGTTGATGGGGTCTGAACTGGAAGAGAGATCTTGGAGTCGTCGTAGATAACTCACTGAAAATGTTGAGACAGTGTGTGACTGCAATAAAAAAGACCAACGCTATGCTGGGGATTATTAGGAAGGGAACTGAAAACGAATCAGCCAGTATCATAATGCCCCTGTATAAATCAATAGTGCAACCTCATTTGGAATACTGTATACAGTTCTGGTCAGCACACCTCAAAAAGAATATTATAGCATTGGAAAAACTGCAGAAAAGGGCAACTAGAATGATAAAAGGGTTGGAACACTTTCCCTATGAAGAAATATTAAAGCTCTTGGGGCTCTTTAGCTTGGAGAAAAGACAACTGAGGGGTGACATGATCGAGGTTTACAAGAGAAAGAAGTACTTTCCTCCCTTTCTCACAATACAAGAATTTGTGGGCACTCCATGAAATTGCTGAGCAGGCAGGTTAGAACAGATAAAAGGAAATACTTCTTCACCCAAAGAGTGATTAACACATGGAATTCACTGCCACAGGAGGTGGTACTGGCTACAAGCATGGATAGCTTCAAGAGGGAATTGGATAAACATATGGAGCAGAGGTCCATCAGTGTCTATTAGCCACAAGGTATAGCTCTCAGTCTGGGGCAAGTGATGCTCTGCATTTTTGGTGGGAGGGCTTCTAGTGTCCTGGCTCCATTGATGGACCTCCTGATGGCACCCGGTATTTTTGGCCACTGTGTGACAGTGTTGGACTGGATGGGCCACTGGCCTGATCCAACATTGGCTTCTCTTATGTTCTTAACTCCCCTGAGAAATCTCCTAACATGGAGGTGATGGGAGAAACATCTCCACTTTCTGGGTTCCATCAGTGCTAAGAGTGCTGCCACCTAGCATTTTAGAGTGCTAGTGCTGTGACTCGAGCGCTGAACAGATCAATTGACACCTGCTAGATGCTGTTATATACTGTGTTAGTGGTGCCCTTTCTAGAGGCCAATGAGATTGAAATAACTTTATCTGGGTAGCCTCTCTTTCTAAATTGTTGTCACTCAACCTCCAGTCTGTTCATTTTAACATCTCCAACTGAAAGTGAAGTAGATGACCCTGGATGAGCAGGTCGTTCCTGCCTGGAAGATGCCACAGATTCCTACACAACCAGCAAATAAGATCCTATAATCACACAAGTAGAATGGGGCTACCAGGACCATTTCTGCTCCAAGGGTTATGATTCTTTGAAGCATGTTTTAGAGAACCGGGACTGGAAGAAACATATACAACAACTGGCTTGGCCAATCACAAATCAGAGTCTCTGTTCCCAGTGCAAGGTGGCATTTGGTTCATGAGAAGAATTTTGGAACTTGGAGATTTTCTGCTGATACAAAGAGATCTATACTTATCTGTTGCCCTGCTTTTCTGTCTCCATCAAGGCGGCTAACAGATTACCAGTTATACTTAAGGTACCAAAGCAGGAATACCAGTCAGAAGACTTTGGGATATAGCATCTATTCCACTTAGTCCAGGCGTTGTCTGCTGAGCCAGTCTGCTGTTATGCTGGATAATCCTGCCACATGGGCATCAGATTGATCTCTGCCCAGCCCAAGATCTGAACTGCTTCTGAGTGCAGAGAACTCAGTTTTGTGGGGGGGGGGGGCGGCAGTTGATGTAGGATTTCAGTGTCATGTTGTCCAAATGGATCAGAATGTCCTTCCCCTCAAGAAAGTCTTAAAAGGCCAGGCTCTGAGTTCTAGATGCTCCACTTGGGTTCTGTCCATTACCATGTCCCGAGAGTGTGCTCCCCATCCCAGCAAGCTGGCATCTGTTATGACCAGTGTCCTGGAGGGATCACTTAGGTGAAACCTGTGTGTAGCCTCTCCCTCGATCTCTACCACTGAAGGTCCCAAAGGAATAGAGAGCAAAGAGAATAATCAAGTGTTGACATTTGGCCATCTCATCCTGAAAACGGAGACGTGTCCACTAGAGAGGTCTTGTGCAGAACCTCACCCAGGGCATTCCAACCTGGCACAATACTAGCATGTCCAGAAGCCTGACAACAATCATGACATCTTTCCAGGTCTTCAGCTGATCTCCTGTAACACTGCCAGGATCTTGGTCTGTTATTCCAGGAAGATAAAAACCTTGTCCTTTGGGGTGTCTTAGATTACTCCCAGATGGTGGACATGCTGAACTGGAACCAGATAGCTTTTCTCTCTGTGGATCATGAAACCATGGTCTTGCAGGCAAGTAATGGTACAGAGGGGGGAACTGGTCCAGGATGCCATCCAGTTAAGGAAATATGGAAACCCCGAGTGTCAAGACTCAGAGCACTGCAGCTGATGCTTCCAATGTGTTAGAGCTTAGGTCAGCCACTGATGCATCCACCAGTGGAAGCTTGAACCTCTTTGGAAGGAAGCATAATGCTGACTACAGGTTCTTCATCCTCAGAAAGTTCCCCCTCTTCCACCTAGCCATGAAGAATCAGACAATTTTGTGACTTCTGCATTGGGGTGTAACTAGGGCTATGGCTTCCAGATTTAGATGTGAAACGATAGTCACTGCCCTAAGATGCCTTACACTTCTTGGGCTGGTTGCAAAGACTGTGTGCTCACCCTGAACCACACTGTCAGATCTGGAAGGAGAATGGGATCTTCTCCTGCACTTGACTTGGCCCTTGTTCTTAGTATGCCTTCTATATGGCTGCTTAGGGGCAGTAGAGGAAAACTACCCCAAAAGTTTGGCCATAGTTGTAGAAATAGAAGTCTGTAATTCCTTCTCCATTTTCATCTTCATCTGAGTCAGGAGGCTTGTCTGCATATTTTCTCCCAAGAGATCAGGCATTGACTCTAATCCCCATGTATATGAATTCTGAGGGGGTGAGCCAGCTGAACAGTTCACTGTCATGGGAGGGGCCTCGAGGAATCCAGCTCTAGAGAGTAGGCTGGCTCTATGGAGGCCTCTTGCATGCCAATATGTGTTAGGAAAATGCATGCCACCATCTTGTTTCCCCTTTCTTTCCTGCCCTTTATCCCCACTGCAGTGAGGGGACCACCTCCCTAGCCCTCCAAGGGCTGTCTGCCTGGTTCCCATTAATACCCAACCCTGCAGTGATGAGGCAGGGCAAAATGGAAGGCTGGCCGAAGCCACCAATGCTCTGAGCGGCCCAGCCAGGACACAGAGTGAGTGGGGAGGCTCTTGGTTGAAGTACAGAGTACCTATAGTTTTCTCTCCTCAAAGGAGAATCTGGAGGGTGGGGAAGTTGACTCCAGTGGAGGCAAATCTATCCCTACTTCAGGCAGCAGGAAAAGTGCCTCCCCTTGGCTGGACACAGAAGAAAAGGAGTTGCTGAGCTCAGAGGCGAGTACAGCTAACAACCATTTGTCTGCTACCCAGACAGCACCAAACTGGGAGATGTGGGGATAAGCCCCTCCCATCAGGATTCACCAAAAAAAAAAAAAAACGGTTAGTGACCCTGCCTGCCTCCAAGGGGGAGCTTCTTCCTATTAGTGAAGACCGCTCTACCTGGAGCACTAGAAAACTCTATTCTAAAAGAGTTTCTTGAATAAGACTACATAACTACTACAGTCAGGATGGTACCTTGAGCATATAAAATAAGAGTTTTATTTTTAATCCACTTGAAGTGATTTGCAAATGTAAATTTGCTTCTAGCACAAGAAGGTGAAGTGTCTTGAGAGATTGCGTGCATCCAATATTAAAAAGAAAAGCAGAAATGATACATACCTTGGTTGTAAAAATCACAGTCATAAGCTGAAAGAAAAAAGTAGGTACAGTTACTAGTATCTGTAGTATCTTGGAAAAGAAGCACACTTCTGGTTATCAGCATTAGCAGTGAGTACTGCTTTCAAATGCTGTGACTTAACAGAAATTGGACAATGAAGTGTCAATCCATGTATTTGGTAGTATGAAAAACAACATCATACGTACGACAGACGGAAGGAGATCTCCAGTGAATTACAGCACCCTGCTGGCAGCATTTGTGAGCATAAGCTGCAATACTTGTACACAGACATTCACAGTCTCCACCAAGATTACAATTGCATGTGTCCGTATGGCAATTTTTGACAAAGGATGTCACATCAATCTGAAATATATGAGGACCAGCCTAAATGTGATGTAGTTTAATTTCATGAATTTAAATCCTTCAAAGAACTCAGATAATACAATTCACCCTCATAAATGCATCATTCTGAGGATTCTGCTGATTGGCTCCTAACATGCTATACTGAACAAACCATAGGCCCATCTAAGACAGCATGCGAGTGCTTCCAGGAAGTCCACAAGAAGGGCATGGAGGCAACAGCCCCCCAGCTGTATGCCTGTAGCAACAGGTTTTGAGAAGCATTCTGCCATAGAACATGGAGGCTCATATGGACATTCTGTCCCACAGTCTAATAATTATAGACCTATAATTTATCCAGTCCCTTTTGAAAGCTATTTATACCACTGACCATAACCACATTGCTTGGCAATGAATTCCATAAGTTAACTATGCATTTTATGAAATGGTACTTCCTTTGATCCATTTTGAACCTACTTCTAGCCAATTTCAGGAAATGACCCTAAATTCTAGAATTATGAAGAACAAGAAAAATCTAACCATACTCCCCATAGCAGGGCTTTTTTTTTTAAAGAGGGTGCTGGAACTCTCAAGGGGAATATGAAGTTTCAATCTGTATACTGAAAACTCATGAACTTTTAAACATATTTAAAAGAATTTTGTTGAAGAGGTTCCAGAACTCCGTTCCAGTCCGTTCCCCCAGAAAAAAGCCCTGCCCCACACCATGCATAATTCCATCTATCGTGTACCTACAATCATCCTTTTTATCAAACTAAGAAGCCTCAAACACTTCAGCATTTCTTTTCAGTAAAGGTACTCTGACCACCCTCTCATTTGAACTTCTCTTTCTGTACCTATCCCCAGTGAGATGAGGCAGCCAGAACTTTATGTAAAATTTCAAATGCAGTCACACCACAGATCTTTCAGTTTATCATTTCCCAATAATTTTCTTCTCCTTTTCACAGAGCTATTCCTTGGGCTGGGCAGTCTGGGCTGCCTCCCCTCCCACTTTGACTAAACCATTGATTACCAACTTTATTAAAACCAAGGTAAACAATGACATTTCCCCTTCATTCTGAAGCAAATTCTGCCACCTAGTGTAATGAATAGCCATGCATCTGAAACTGACTTTCCTGTCAAGTTCAGCCAGCAGTGCATTTTTATCAGCACATCAGTAGCCCCGTTCATGGTAGAGCAAACACATGTACAACCTGCATGTATGTGATGGTAAAAAAGAGCCACATATGGTCGGTTCACAGATGAAACTGGGGGTTAATACCTGGATTAATGCAGTCTGAATCACACATTACATGTGTTGATAGTAACATGAGAATTACTCAGCACACATATAAAGAAAAAATCAAGTATACATTGTATATGGATTGTATCTGTGTTTATTGTAACTTGTGAATAGGGCTACTAAATAGTGGTGGTGGTCTTTCCTTGGCCTTCTTTTTAAATAGTTTAAGGCATGCACAACACACATTAAAGAACAGCATAGCAAAATGGCTCAGTCATCCAAGCACTGACCATGGCACAATGTCCATTTAACAAGGTTTGTACACAGCTATTTTTAAGCTTAGTAGTAATTTAAGGTAGAGATGTGAAGGCCTGGTAGCATAACTAAAAAAATTGAGGGAGGGGACTGGGAGTCGTCACCCCTGGAGGAAAAATTGGGAACTTTGGAGGGGAGTACTGAAAAAAACTCCTATGAGGTAGGACCTAGCAACCCTAAACCAACCTTTTATCTGATCCTCATCTTTAGCTATATTTGTTTACTTCATCTTCTTCATCTTTCTTCATCCTGTTTTGGTCATGGACTCCCCTGAACATTCCAACACGTTCCAAAATCAGTTCGCTCTCTGATCTGTCATTCAGAGGGTCTCCCTATCCACTGGCTGCTTTGCCTGGGTCCTGCCTCCAACATTCTAAACAGTTTGCTTTTCCTCTCCCCCCCACAGCCAGTCAGAACACAGAGATCATTTGCATATGTGGCCTGATTCGCCTTTGCCTTGGAACACAGAGGTCGTTTGCATATGCGGTCTCACTGGCCTTTCCCTCTAACATTCTAAACAGTTTGCTGTTGATGTCCTGAGGTAAAATAAATTTCCCCTTAGTGTCTGTTGGGGGAAACCATGGTTGCAAATCTCCAAGTGAGGGCTGAAGATCACTCCGAATTACAACTGCTTTCCAGATGGCAGAGATCAGTTCCCCTGGAGAAAATGGTGGCCTCTGTGTCCTTATATCTTGCTGAGATGGCCCCTGTATGACAGCCAATGTGACATAGCAGTCAGGGCTTCAGCTATTAAAACTGATGTCCAGATGATCAAGATCAGTTCTCCTGGAAACAATGGCTGCTTTGGGCAGTGGATTCTATAGCATTATACCCTGCTGAGGTCCCTCCCCACCCCAAACCCTGCCCTCCCCAGGCTCTACCCCTCAAATCTACAGGTATTTCCCAACCCAGAGTTGGCAACCGTGTAATCGGCTATGGTACCACTTTTCAGGCCCTTGGAACCCAGAAAACATGGCACTGGAGGAGGTGCTTTTCTACCTTAGCTGTGACTGCATAGCCCCAAATTAACATAAGCCAACCTCCAGGCGGCACCTGGAGATCTCTAGCTATTAAAACTGATGTCCAGATGATCAAGATCAGTTCTCCTGGAGACAATGGCTGCTTTGGGCAGTGGATTCTATGGCATTATACCCTACTGAGGTCCCTCCCCACCCAAAACCCTGCCCTCCCCAGGCTCTACCCCTCAAATCTACAGGTATTTCCCAAACCAGAGTTGGCAACCATGTAATCAGCTATGGAACCACTTTCCAGACCCTTGGAACCCAGAAAACATGGCACAAGAGGAGGTGCTTTTCTACCTTAGCTGCCACTGCATAACACCCTGCTCCCCCTCAAAAAATAAGTCAGAGGTGGAGAGAACCATATCTGTTACCATGAGGCTGTCCTCCCATTCTACCCACTTGGGGCAGCAAAATGACTTGAGACAGCCCTGCCTTATAGCTAAGCAGAAGGAAAGAAACATGGCTTGCCTCCATCTATTTTCTGCTTCCCTCTGGCGCCCCACCAGCCACAGTTAGGACACTCATCTGGAGCTTCCTTCTAGATCCCGTTGTATTTCTTCCCACAACGGACATTACTCCTAGTTATTAATATGCCCATTTACATCTTGCTCCCCTCCTCGAAAAATAATGGCAACTGCCGCTTATGATAATGTAACAGTTAATAATGGCAATGCTGATAGGATGTGAATGGTGGTGAAAGGGAGAAGCTCTCAGCCTGTGATTTCTCCATGAATAATTCCAGCTGCCTAGATACTCCATCATCCCCCGTTCAGTGGCACAGTTGAACAGAATCATAGCTGCACCTCACATAACCCAATGTCTTTTATCAAATCCCAGGTGTAAATATCAGGACCTACTAGTGCGAAAAGCCTACTGGCTACTAATAATACAATTTCAAGGAACACTATGGTGATAAGGGGTGTGGCATGGGTGGGGACTTGCTATTCAAGAAGAAGAAAAATGATAGGGGTATTCCCAAACTGCAGGGGAGTAGACTGGTGGGAAATTTTCAGTGAGTCATTTGGGAGCCAGCCACTATGTTTTGTGTGCTGCTCCTCAGAGGAAATGACCACAAACCCCAAAGTTCTGGGGTATACTCTACCAAGGACCATTGTTGCTATGAAAACTCAGCTGCTACTGCTAGAGAATATGCAACAACAATGTATGCTCAATTCCTTCACACTGGCTGATTAGGTTCCTGACACAGAACTTGAGGACTGGTGACATTAAGTTCATTGGCAATAATACAGGCAGCTGCTCATATTAACAGGAGCTGGTGCCAAGGCAGCTTTGGAAGTATTTGGCAAACAGAAGACTCAGAGCAAATCTGTTCTTTTCTAGATAACTTATGAAGACTTCACTTACCACATTGCGACATGGGGCGAAAACATCACTGTACAAAATTGAGCATTCCTTTTTGGCATAAGGGAACTTGCTCTGATGTACTTCACATGGTTTTATGGTGTCATTTGGACTTGCACACTGGTTTACATGAAAAACAAACAGCAATTATGCAGTTATCAATATCTTTTACTGAACTTTTGTTGTTGTTGTTCAAAATGGTTTGGGAACCTTCCCTTTTCCAGAAAAAAAATCTTGAGATGCAATACTGTTGAACTCTCTTCTCCTAGGACTCATTTAAAAAAAACAAAAAAACAAATGAAAGCCAATGGGAAAACATTTTTTTAAATTTGTTTAATGTTTGGTGTAGTGGTTTGGTGTAGTGGTTAAGTGCGCAGACTCTAATCTGGGAGAACCGGGTTTAATTCCCCACTCCTCCACTTGCACCTGGCTGGATAACCTTGGGCAAGCTGTAGTTCTGATTAGAGCTGTTCTTGGAAAAGAGCAGTTTCTGTCAGAGCTCTCTCAGCCCCACCTACCTCACAGGGTGTCTGTTGTGGGGAGGGGAAGGGGAAGGAGTTTGTAAGATTAGGGGAACAGGTGGGAGAAAGAACTGGAACTCTCCCATCCTGAACACCCCTGCCCATCAAACTGATTGGCTTTAAGTTGTTGTATTGATGGTTGCTATATTATATTTCTACAGATCTGTACACTCTCAACATTATTTTGAAACTGCATAGGGACTTTTGCTTACCTGTCCTAGTGTCCAGCTCTCTCCGAAAATTTGAGCATTTCTTACTTCCATGTTGTTGGATGTGGTCAGATCATTTGAAGTGAATTTATCAAAATTCCCACACAAACCTGCCAATTTACCCTGAAATTATAACAGGATAGTATTTTTTTAATCTGTTCATTTAAAATAAGCGAACTATGGTTGCAGAATGATGACACGTTACCTAAAACTTGTTAATGACACCACCACCACCCATTAGTATTTCAATACAGGTCCTGCAAAGTGGATACCTTTAGACATAAACATTTCGGCTCTGAGTGTTTGATAAGGGATAGTATTCAATCATTCCTTTTAGGGCTATACCACACATCATTGCTGAACACATGGGTTTGCTGTTAGGATAACAATTTCATCAAAGAGTTGTGACATGTTTACACAGTTTTAAATAAGAAACATTTTCTGCTGGAGCAAGACAATGCCAGGGAATAGGTTCACATCAGAGTATATGATTGGACACTTCCTTAGACTTGCAATTTGTGGGTTTATTTGGAGACTTCATTTTTATTGCTCACTTATAGAAACCTGAGTCAATGTAATGCCCATATTTGGCAGCAAATATATGAAGGTAAATTTTGGTATAAGCATGCTCTCTCCCTTTTTCTCCTCTCAAAACAGGGTGGAAGCACTTGCTGTCCTATTTAGTAAGGGGAACCAATAAAGTGTCACACAGAAGCCAGTGGAGATGCTTCTGGTTCAAGAAAAATGGAGGTCTTTTCTGCCCTAATTTAAAATGTCTTGGAACATTCAATTTCCTTTTTCATGAAGAAAAGATGCTTTTGAACCTACATAAATTACTGAACTAGACCAGCAGAATATTATCTTCTCATGAGAGGAGGCAGCTCACATTTGCTCAGAATAGTTAGCAAATGTGGACAATCATTGTCAGTTTTCACATTGTGAGAAAACATGGCCCACAATTTGGTATAAATGTGCCTTGCTACCTAAATACGAAGTCAAATCAAGACTCTCTGGGTGATTTCTCACGAGAGCTGCCTCGCAGCACAGCGCCGTTTGCCTCGACACAAACGTGTCAATTTCACACCCGAAGCTCCGGGGCTGCATTTTGACTCGGGGCTTTGCCCGATTTCCTCCGCAGTTTCGTGATCCTGGTTTTTGAGGATCATGAAACTGCGGAGGAAATCGGGCGAAGCCCCGAGTCAAATGCAGCCCCGGAGCTTCGGGTGTGAAATTGACACGTTTGTGTCGAGGCAAACGGCGCTGTGCTGCGAGGCAGCTCTCATGAGAAATCACCCCCAGTCTAACAAGCTCCTAAACGGGAGATGGGCAAATTATGGCCTGCGAGCCATACTCTAGCAGGAGTTTTTCATGAAGCCCTTGAGCTGCATAATAGTTTTGGGGAGCATCAGTCCTTACTGGACTGCAGCTTCTGCTAGTGGGATGATGGACTGAAAAACTGTTAGGCAGTTCAAGACCCAAGGGCCATGAAGAGTAACAGCATGGGGGAAAGGGCACATCTGCATCTCTGCTGACAACGGGCATCAACTTTTAGGGGCTTCTGGGCATTGCCAGCTTGCCGCAATGGAACATGGTCAAGCCTGAAGTTACAGAGGATTTTCAGTGCCAGAAACAGGAAGAGCCAGCCATCTAACTCGGAACCCTCAAAACCGGGTAAAGATCTGGAAGTGGCATTGAAGCAAAAAACCTTGCTAACATAAGCCATGCAGACACAGTGGAATTAACCTCCTCTATTCCTAGAACTATAAAATATAGGACACCCACTCATATTCATTCACCTTCCATTGAGCTCCAACTTTGATGTGCATTGTTGTCTTTCTATCCCACAGGATAGTGATTTCCTGCTCTGGGAAGTGTACTGCTGTATAATGTCCAGCCTTCCAAAGCTGATACTTGGTTTTGTTCTCATGTATCCTCAGCATTCTCTGCAAAGAAATTCATATTTGTGAAAGAGAGATCAAATGGCTTCAGTAATGTGCAACATTTTATCAACATATTTACATAATTTACACCCTGCCTTTCTGCCCTCATCAGTGCCATCAAGGCAGCTAACAGATTTAAAATATACATAATAAAACACATCTTAAAAAACATTAAAGCCAAACAAAAACATATAAAAATAAGTAAAACTATGTGAACATACACATAGAAAAATATACAAACAACAATTAGAACAAAGGGCAGGAAGGAGGGATCAATGAAAGAACACAAGATGCCTTCATTTACTGATGGAGCATGGAATCAGCAAAGGACAGGTGATTGGGTTGCCATCAGTACTCCCTCTAAGATGAGTTAGTGTGAGCTAGCTCACAGTTTTTTAGCCTCCAGCTCACACATTTTTGTCTTAGCTCAGGAAGGATGGCTCCAAAGCACACTAATTTATGCAGTAGTCAAATTGCTCGCTCACAACTTTAATGCCAGTAGCTCACATAGTAGAATTTTTGCTCAGAAGACTCCACAGCTTAGTAGGAGTCTTGGTTGCCATCCCCCAATCACTTTTGGGTGATGTCATCATGGCACGCTGTTGTGTACTAATGGCGACTGCGGACATGGTCGCCTTTACACGTGGCCATGCGAACTACTCTAGCTTCGCATCCCTAGACAATAGGAGAGGATCCTAGAACCAGCCTATCGGCTCGTCCGGATCCTCAAGGGAACCTATGGTTGCAGTAACACTGTAAATAATCCTATCACAGGTGTGGGTGTGTGTTGGGTGTGGTTTGTACTTGTATTTAAAGCGGGCCTCGGGCTGGCTACTGTATCTCCAGTTTCCTTTTTCCTAAGTAAAGTATGAGCTGAAATCACTACACTATGCTTCAGTCTCAGTACTTTATACATGTGTAAGAAGATCCAGGAGTGTGGCCAGGAGACTCCCTCTGGCAAAAGGTAGGACCTGGCAACCCTAGGTTCTCTGGGAGAGAGAATTCCAGAATTTTGATGCTGTGATAAAAAAGGCCTTCTCCCAGATAGCCACCCACCTAATCTCAGAAGGCAGGGGCACCCAAAGGAGGGCTTTGGAAGATAACCATAGCAATCAGGTAGGTTCATAAGGGAGTTGGCAGTCCTTCAGTTATGCTGGTCCCAAGATATATAAGGTCAACACAAGCACTTTGAATTGTGCACAGAAACAAATTAGGAGCAAGTGTAGATGGGCCAAGACTGGAGCAATATGGTTTCCTACAATCCACTTCAGTCAAAGGCCTGGCTGCAGGACTCTGCACCAGTTGAAGTTTCTGAACACTTTTTAAGGGCAGGCTCCATGTAGAATGCATTGCAGTAATCTAATCTGGATGTAACCAGGGCATGCGCCTCAGTAGTCAGATTTTTTTTCTGCCCAGGAAAGGCAGCAGCCAGCTAACCAGTCAAAGCTGATAAAAGGTACGATGGTGTTGGGAGGGCCTGGATGGTGGCCTTGGAGGACGTGGTGGAGACGGGGCTTATCTCCAGCCACTCTGAGCAGGAGTCGACCGTGACCAGAAACAGCAATCCATGGAATGGTCCTGCAAAATTGGCATGGAGCCTTGACCACAGCGTCCTGGAGGACTCCCAGGTGTGTGTGGGTGCGCTCAGTGGAGACGGCCAGATGGCTTGGCACATTTCGCAGCACTTCACCCAAGCCTACTTTTCCGCATTAATTCCTGGCCACCATATGTAACTCCTGACCAGGGCCTTCATGCGGACGATCCCTGGGTGGGCTTCATGCAGGGCTTTTAGGACTTGGGTGCACAGGGCGCTGGGGACTACCACTCTGTCCCCCCACAGTAGACATCCCTTATGGGCGGACAACTCGTTTCGGCGTGTTGTGAAGGCCATGAACTCAGGGCCCGCTGCAGCTGCGGGCCACCCCCTCACCACCCAGCCCAGATCTCAGGAGAGGATCGGGTCCCTGGCTGAGTGGCGAGCCATATCCCCAGCCTGAAAGGGAGACTCGTGGAGGTCCTCAACGTGCAGGATGTGGTGTGCCAGAGCCGGGTCACCCTCGACAGACAGCAGTGGTAGGCGGCTAAGTGCATTGGCATGACCCATAGCCTTCCCGGGGCAGTGCTCGAGGGCGTAGTTGTAGCCAGACAGAAAAATGGACCACCAGAGGACCCACGGGGAGAGGACCTGTGGTGTCTGCCGGTCTACGGCGAAGAGGCCAAGAAGAGGGTGATGGTCTGTGGCAATGGTGAAGTGCCAGCCGAAGACGAGGTCATGGAACTTCTTGATGCTTATCATGATCGCCAGGCCCTCACGGTCAATCTGGGCATAATTCCGCTCCGCCGACAACAGCGTCTGGGAGTAATATGTGATGGGCACCTCCCACCCGTCTGGGAGATGGTGGGCCAACACAGCACCCATGCCATAAGGGGAAGTGTCGTATGTGAGAATCACCAGCAAGGATTCATCAAAATGTGCCAGGACTTTGTTCGAGACCAACAGTACCTTGACCCCCCTGAAGATGGCGGCTTGGTGGGGGCCCCAAGACCAAGGGGCTTGCTTGTCCAGGAGGCGATGCAAGGGCTCTGCTACCACCACCTTGTGGGGGAGGAAGGCGTGGTAGAAGTTTAAGAGCCCCAGGAATGCCTGGAGTTCTGCCTTGGATTTAGATGGGGGAACCTCAACAATGGTCTTCACCATGTCCCTCACAGGGTGGAGGCCGTCCACATCGACCATGAAGCCCAGGAAGTCAACAGATGGAACCCCTAGAAGGCACTTCTCCCACTTCACTTTCAGCCTAGCCCCGTGGAAGTGGCAGAGGATGGTGTGCAGTCTGGAGGCAAACTCCTCTGGCATCGCCGTGGCGATCAGCACATCATCGAAGAACGGTGTGATGCCTGGGATCCCTTTCAAGAGAGTCCATCAAATGTTGAAAGAGCCCCTGGGCCACGCTCACCCCAAATTGCAGTCTCTTTACTTTGAAAGCCCCCCTATGTGTAACAATTGTTTGTGCGGCGGCAGTTGCCTTGACAACCGGGAGCTGTTGGTAAGCCTGGGCGAGATCGAGTTTGCCGAAGATCTTCGCCCCTGCCAAAGTGGCCAGCATGTGGCTCACAACTGGGACCGGGTATGTGTGGTCCTGAAGAGCCTTATTAAGTGTGCACTTGTACTCCGCACAGATGTGGACATCCCCATTTGGTTTCATGGGGGTGACTATTGGGGTCTCCCATGCCGCATGGGAGACCGATTCCAGGACCCCTTGCTCCACGAGATGGCCCAGTTCTGCATCAATTTTTGGCCGCAGTGTGAACGGGACCTTCCTGGAATGCATGGGGATGGGGGCCACGTGTGGGTCAAGCTGCAGGGATACTGAGGGCCCCATGTAGTGCCCCAAAGTCCCATCAAAAATGTCCGGGAACTCGCTGCAGACCTCCCGGAAGGCCTGCGGGGCGCAGAGCTGGACTCCCCCAATCAAGATTCCCAAGGGCGCAAACCACACATGGCCAAAAAGGTTGACCAGGTTGCCCTCAACTACGATCAAGTCCAAGTAGTCATCAAACCCCTGGTACTGGATTCAGAAGCTACTCTGGAAGTCCATCAGGGTCACGGGAGAAGGACGCAGGCAGGGCCCCCCATTCAGACACAGTTTCTTAAGGGTCTCCACCGATATGATGGAGGTCACGGAGCCAGAATCGAGCTCCATAGAACAAGGGGACCCCTCTATCTTGACCCAGACCTGAATTTTTGGGGCTGCAGTCTGGCTAGGAAGCCTCAGTACCTGTTCTAATGATACGCTCATGAGGAGGTAAAGTTCTTCCTGGGATGTGTCATCCTCGTAATGAGCGGCAGACCGGCGGCCCTGCTGGGGTTGTGATGTTGGGGTTCGGGACCCCCGGGAACAGCAGGCCCAGGTGATGTGTCCCGACCGGCCGCAGCCCCGGCATACAGCATCCCTGAAGCGGCAAGTTTTCTGATCGTGCCTGTCTCCACAGCTGGCACACTTTTGCCATCCAGACTCCTTGATGGGAATGGAGCGTGGTGCAGGCCCTGGATCTCACCTCCGGTTGGAACGTTGGGTCCGGTGGACTGCCTCTTCCTCTGGGTCCATGGGGTCAGTGCTTGCCTGGTTTGCGGCAGTTGCTGCGGCAGGATGGTTCTTCTCCCAAGCCGTGGTGGTGGAGAGGGCTGAGGTGAGGGTGCACTTTTCATCCTCCAGGATCCGTCGCCTGAGCTTCTAATCGCTGAGCCCACAAACCAGTCTGTTGCGGAGGGTCATATCAAGTTGGGCCCCAAAAGTGCACTCAGGGGTGAGCCTGCAGAGCTCAGCCAGGTACACAGCAACAGGTTCTCGCGGTTGCTGTTGCTGGGAGTGAAATGCCACATGGCGCAAGATCTCTGATGCCTGGGGAACGAAGTGATCCTGGAGTGTCTTGACAATCTGCTCAAACGTGGCCTCTGCTAGCTTGGTTGGGGAGAGCAGGTTGCAAGCCAGCTCCACGGTGGCTGGGCCACATAAGCCGATAAGGAGGCCCTTCTTCCTCTCTCCGTCGGTGACCTCGTAGAAGATCAGGATGGACTTGAGTCCCTCGACCCAGGGTTCCCAGTGATGCGGCCAGGTAGGGTCAAATGGAGGGACTAGTCCCGCTCCTGAAGCGACTGCCATCGTGCTGTGGGGTTGTGGCAGGGAAGCCACTTGTGTGCCTTCAGTGCTCATCGGTTGAAGCGGCGGTGGTTCCTGGCCTTCCTCTGATGCCCAGCAGCCCAGCCAGCTCAGCGGGATCCCATCCTCATCGCCATTGTTGTGTACTGAGTTCAACGCATGGAGAAGCTGGATGCTTCGTGATTAACAGCTCATAGTTTATTGATACACAACACAACAACTTTACCGGCCGGGGCAGCCAACTATATACAATCCCTGGGGCACACCCACCAGTCCCATTGGGAGGTTTGAACTTCCCACCACAGTTCCTATAGGTGCTAACTGGGAGGCTCAGGATCCTAGTCCCTATTGTTCTTTTGGAGCCAAGCTCGAGTTGCATACCACTGGCGCCTAGTGGCGGTCAGTGGACATAACACTGGTCACAGCTGCCACCTTTTTATCTAGCAGTAGGCCTTTATCCAACAGCACCCCCAAACTACAGACCTGTTCCTTCACAGGGAGTGCAACCCCATCCAGAACAGGTGACACTGTAAGTCCCAGGTAAGACCTTCCACTTCCAGAAACATTTTCATCTTGTCAGGATTAAGCTTTAGCCCACATCCACACCAAAACTGTCTCCAGGCATCAATTCAGGGTTTCTACAGCCTCCCTGGCATCAGCCAAAACTGTGAGATAAGAGTTGAATTTCATCTGCATATTGATAACAACTCACTCAAAATCTCCAGATGACCTCACCCACTGGTTTCATGTAGATATTAAAAATCAAAGGTGACAAGATGAAGCCTTATGGGACCATACAGGCAAGACACCAAGGGCTGAGCAGCAGCCCTCTAGCACTACTTTCTGAAACCTATCCTATAGGTAGGTCCTGAACCACTGCAAAACAGTGCTTTCCAGTCTCTGCCTGGAAAGGTGATCCAGAAGGACATAATCACTGAGGGTACTGAAAGCCACTGAGAGGTCCAGGACAATCAACAGAGCTGCAGTCCCTCTGTTCATCTCCCAGCACAGGTCATCCAGCAGGCAACCAAGACTGTTTCAGTCCCATAACCAGGCCTGAAACCAGATTGGAAAAAATCCAAACAGAGTGAAGAGGAGCCAAACATAATATAACCAAGATACGCACAGCTAATATCATGCCAAAATTAGCACAATTCCAACATATAAATGCATTTTTATAATGCATTATTTCTTCATGGTAAGGTATAGAATCATTTTTTCAAAAGATTTCTAAAGGGAGGCTGAGTAAACAATCTCAAGAAATATTTTAAAGTCCTGATCTCATAAGGTGACTTGATCACATTATTTCATGCCTACTCCCACTTGAAAACTTCATTATTATATTTTTTATTTTTTTTAATTTGGATTATAGGATAATCACATGACCATTGGGCCAGCTTTATAATGAGGTGATGTAAAGGATGGCTTCATATAATAGATTATCAGAGCAGTACCCTCCACAGTTACCTTGTTCTTGTCCTGCCCCTTGCTGCTTCCTTCTCCTCTTCCTTGAAGGTAGATCAGCTAACACTCTGTAATGTATTCATCTCAGACTGCGTGCGAGGCAAGGGCTCCACGCGGTCAGGCGAAACGTCTGAGCTTCACTACAGAACACAATGGGCAAAGCGGATCCTAGCCGGCACCAATCGGTGAGCTAGGCTCCGGGCTGAGAGCCCATGGAACTCTCGGCCACTGTAAATAACCAATCACTTGTGTGGGGTGTGTTTTGGGTGTGGGGTTTTCAGGGAATATAAGCCGGCCTGAGAGCCAGCTAGAGTTGTCTTGTTCTGCACTAATAAAAGTATGAGAGCTGTAATCACTCATCCGTCTCAGTACTTTTCACACTCCTTCAGTCTTTGCTCTCCTGATAATAAAGAATTATGTGCTGTCAAGTTGCAACTGACTCTTGGTGAGCCTAGGACCATGGGGGTTTCAAGGCAAGAGGTGTATGGATGTGGTTTGCCATTGCCTTCCTCTGTACAGCAACTCCAGTCTTCCTTGGTGTTCTCCCATTCACGTACCAACCATTGCCAACCCTGTTTAGCTTCCTAGCTCTGACAAGATTGGGCCAGTCAGGGCTAATCAGCCTGCTTTCCTATAGATCCCTAAACATAGTGTGCCAAATTGCACATGCTCAATAGGGCTAGATGCCACTTGCAAGAGTTAAGGAAGCGATTTTGGGCAGATGCAGTTCGATACACTGTGCTTAAAGGCATATAGAGAATAATGAAGGAAGGTGCATTGACTACTCTTACTGAAGGAAGAGGAGCAGAGTCTGTGAAAGTTAGCAGGAGAAGACCTTAGCATTCTCAGAAACCACATGGTTGGGTGCTAAAGAGGAAAAAAATGATTTCAATGAAGTTCTGCATTATCCAAAAAATTGTGGTGATTGTACAGAAGACCACAGAGCGGAGTAAGAACTACGAAAATGGGAGCATTTTTATTACCTTACAGCTTGAGCTCTTTATTATGCTTCTTCAGATAAAATTTGCTTTAATTATTAAGCAGTACTGTAGTGGGTTGACTGAAGGTCAAGTTAAAAAAAGAGGAATATGGAACTTACCTGTACATCTACAGGGTCACTGAAGTAAATCTCTGTGTCTCCAACAGAGATAAAGACACTCTTTGAGCAAATGATGTCATTATCAAAGCACTTCTTGTTCTGAATTATTATAGATATGTTTGGACTGTCTGAACTCTGCAAAGCAGAAAGAATTATTATATGCAAACACAACTGTATGTTACTGCAGCATCCTCATAACAAAACAACATGGAATTTGTCAGATGGTACGAGACTCCAGTTGCCCTGGGCTGCTTGACGATACTCCAGTTGCCCTGGGCTGCTTCTGGGCCAGCCTGAGTTAAAACTGTTCTAAATCAAGTTATGCTAGGTTGATGTAGAAATAAACCTCAATCTGCCAGAGTGCAATTAAGGAAATGGATGAGACCCACTTGGTTGTACAGTGAGTTATATTGCAATGCAAACTGGCTGAAACCAAACCAGTTAAGATGAAGATTTAATCTACCACATTGCTTAGCTTAAGAATACATCCTTAAAATGGGGAGGAGGCATGCTAAAGGCAAACATGCAAACTCATCCATGAATTGAATAAAACTGTGGCTCTACTTTTTCATGTACACATCTACCTCCCCCTCCTGGATGGTAATTTCTCCTCATTTTCATGCATCTCTCTAACAACACTGTCTAAATCATTAGCCTTTCACAGGAAGGGAAATGGCTCCCAGGCAACACTATATCTGATACAGGTTTTGTGTACCTACTATATACCACAGTTTCAGAAGGGAGCCATGTTGGTCTGCAGTAGATTTGAGGCCAGTAGCACCTTAGAGACCAATCTTGTTGGTCCTTACGGTGTTATTGGACTCAAATCTAGCTGCTGTACCACACTAATTCTTACCAAAGTAGGCACACTCCTGGTAAAACAACTATTATCTATCCATTACATGTTAAACCCCAGCTATCCTCCATGGAGATGAGGGTGGAAACAATTTGTTGTTCTTTCCCCAGTTTATCATTCAAACCACCTTGTGTGGTAGGTTAGGCTACGTTGCTTGTTCAAGGTCACCTATTTAGCTTCACACTGGAGAGGGGACAAACTCAGGTTTCCTCAGACCCACTCTGATCACTACAGCCCTTTCTGATTAATGGAAAAATCATTCCCCAGGGTTGCTGGACTACACAAAAACAGCTGCACACATTGAGGGAGGACAGACTGAGGAGGACACGAAATTGCTCCTTCTTCCTCTTCCAGCAGCATGGCTTTGCTAAGGAAAGGAGTCAGTTTTATTCTCTTGTCCCTCCTCACTCCAGCCAACCAACCTTCCTGACTTTCTCTGCATGGATCCTACAACCCTAGGAATGATCATTCTGTGCTGCAAGAAAGTGCTACAAGAAAAGGAGGAGAATATGGGGAAACTATATGCCTTCCACACATGGATAGTACAATACTTCCCACTGTACACCAGTGGCTCATGCTTTTAACAGTGTGCTAGAAGTCATTGATTAAACTTGTTTTACTTTAATAAGAAACAAAAAAGAAAGATGGGAGAGGAATAAAGGGCGGTATTTGAACTGGCACTCTCTGATATTTTTCTTGTGGCACCCTTGCATAAAAGATTGGCCACCTCGGTAAGTATTATATACCAACAGGTTTAAAGTCAGTCATATGAAGCTGCCCTGTGTATACCAGTCAGGAACCTAGAAGGTGGAGCAGCTAAACAAAAGAATAAGATACATCAATTTATTACAAAGTACTCAATAAATATAGATTAAAAACTCAGATAAAAGCCACGAGGTAGTGGGCATGAAATTACATCCACATAACATACAGCAACACATGTAAAATGCACACACAGTAACTAAGACCAAAACACTGGTTACACAAAATAACCACTAGACCAAAGTATTGATGTCAATCAGGCCTGTACACTTAGAGGAGCCCACACTCATCAAAGACGATAGCTCTGTACAACCATCCTGCCCTTGGCTGTTGTTATATTAAAGGTGTGTGTCCATGTGTAAACAGAAAACGAAGGGACATTTTGCCCTATGCAGACCAGTGATCCATCTAGTCCAATAAAGTCTACTGTTACTGCCAGTAGCTTTTCAGAGGTCTTTCTTTCCCACCTTTGCTACCCACAATCATTTGAGTGGAAATGGCTGGGATAGTACCTGGGTGCTTAATTGTTCAAAGCACATGCTTCTTACTGAGCTATGGACCCTCAACTTTTGTGAACTGACTCAATGGTGCTATTTTTTTTTAAAAAAAATAGTAGAGAAGCCTCTTGCCTCCTTGTCACTTGCGTATCATCACATTTTATATAACCACTTTCAGGAACGAAGTTGCATTTACCTTTTAAGGTAAAAAAAACAAAGGAGGAAATACCACACTCTGCCTTGAGGAACTAAACTGAGTTCTAGAAAACAAAAACAAAATGTTTTTTCCGTTGCAGGACCAGGTCGTATCTTCCCATTAAATCATCAAAACTAGCCTGTTCTAACTTAGTATCAGTTTCTTTGTGATAGTGTAGTGTTGCTGAGTAACGGAGAAACAGTAACAGAAATCTGGGCAAGGAATCGAAAATGTAGCCGCTATCCTAATTTTTGTAGACTACAATACACCAGGATTTCAATGCTGAAGAAGGAATGGATTCTATTCCCTTCAGATGGAAAATTTAGACTGGTCAAACAAATTGCCATTATTTTATCATTCTGAAGTGTAATGCTAAAATTCTGATTGTAAAAATCACTCGCAGCTAGCCATATTAGCTAACAAAACAGCATGTCTCCAATTTCAACCAAAGAAACAGTAAAATCTTTTAAAATCCCTTTAACCATGGTTTGGACCCTAACCCTTTCTTTTATTTCCATACCACTATTCTCTGTTATGGAGGTGGCATTTCATTTTGACACAAGACACTTCCTGCTTATTACTAGGCTTATTTCAGCACAGGTTATCTGCCCTGGGGCTCACTGCTGTTGGAAAACATGCCACAGAAAAGCCCTGTTGCCACTGCACTTTACTAGCAGCCACATCAACAATGAAGAAACGACCCAACCCATCCTCATGCAGAAAACACCAACGCCTTGCAATAAGCAGAAAGCACCAAGCACCAGAGAAAGACACTTCACAGATCTATGGACATATGAAGCTTCTTGTTGTTGTTCAGTCGCACAGTCGAGTCCGACTCTTCGCGACCCCATGGACAAGATCTCACCAGGCCCTCCTGTTTTCCGCCGTCCTCTGAAGATTGCTCAATTTCATGTTCGTTGCAATTATGACACTATCTAACCATCTCATCCTTTGCCGTCCCCGTCTTCTTTGACCTTCAGTCTTTCCCAGCATCAGGGTCTTCTCCAGTGAGTGCTCCCTTCTCATTTGGTGGCCAAAGTATTTGAGCTTCAGTTTCATTATCTGGCTTTCCAGGGAACAGTCAGGGTTGATTTCTTTTAGGACTGACTGATTTGATCTTGCAGTCCAAGGGACTCTCAAGAGTCTTCTCCAGCACCATAGTTCAAAAGAATCTATTCTTCGGCGCTCAGCCTTCCTTATAGTCCAACTCTCGCAGCCATACATGACTACTAGGAATACCATTGCTTTGACCATGCGGACTTTTGTTGGCAGGGTGATGTCTCTACTTTTTATCATGCTGTTTAGGTTCGCCATCGCTTTCCTCCCAAGGAGCAGGCGTCTTTTAATTTCATGGCTGCTGTCACAGTCTGCGGTGAAGCTACCTCATACTGAATCAGACCACTGATCCATCATGCAGCAGCTCTCCAGAGGCTTAGTCAAAGGTCTTTCACATCACCCGCTACCTGATCTTTTTAACTAGAGATACCAGGGATTGAACTTGGCACTTTCTGCATCCCAAGCAGAGCTCTACCACTGAGCCACACCCCCTTCCCCAATGCCCCTGCAATGGAGAAACAGAACAAAGGCTTAGGACTCAAGTCCAAATCATAAATTGTAATCTTTTTAAAAATCAAAGTCTAATAAAGAATAATTTATCACCACCAACACAATCTTCGACACCATGTTCTTCCTTTTTTCAGCTGGTTATGACATTTGAAATTAGAATGTGAAATAAACTGAAATCTAGTCATACAACTGCATCCTCTACAAAAAAAATATAGACCAATTTTTGTGTATGTTGGACATTCATAAAATCTCATTTTTTATGTTGGGCATTCTGTTTATGAACGAAGTCGAGAGAGAAATTTTTTTGCCTCTCACATAATACTAGAACTAAGGGTCATCCTCAGGGGTCATTTCCTGCAGGAGCGCACAGGAGCGGAGCTCCGATAGTAAAGAGCCCAGGGGGCGGGCACATGCAACAAGCCCCGCCCCCTGCTCCCAGCAGCCCCAGGCCACAATGAGCAAAAAGCAGCCAGGTAAGTTGCAGTGGGTATTGCCTTCTGACACACTTCTGGTGATGTCAGGGGTTGTGGCATATGCAAATAAGTTATGCTAATGAGTTATGCTAATGAGCTCCTGCACCTCTTTTTCTACGAAATGACCCCTGGTCATCCTGTAGTATTAACTGGCAGTGGGGTCAGGACAGACAGGAAGACACATTTCTTCACATAATGTATAAACAAGTTATAGAATTCACTACCACAAGATGTGGTAATTACCATTAGCTTAGCAGCTTTGAAAGACGACAACAAATTCAAGTCAGGCTATCATCTGGGCTGCCAGTCTGTAGGACACCTGTCATGTTGTTTTAGCGAGCTACTCAACAAATTGAACAATTATCACAAACTAAAAGACTACATTCAATAAGCTAAGTTTGTCTTTTACTCTGATATTATTATATAATATTGGTCTATCTTGGTATATAATTAGTATCTTCCAGTTTTTCCAAAAATTTAAAAGCATCTATGAATGCAGAGGAGGCAAATTGTTTTTAGTTGCTATATAGTCACACTAGCCTGCTATCTGTGCTTCGCAACGGTATTTAAGTTCCGCAAATCCAGTTATAATACTGATTATGTGAAGTCTGAAATGTAACATTTGTTGTAGGAATTCTAATGGAGAAGATGGTAGTGTAAGAAATTGAGACATGTGTACTTTTCCCCCTCTCTACTGAAGGACCTCTCTCTAGACCACACTGGTGGTTCTGCCCTCAGGTGCTGGGATCACCAGGCTGCTTGATGAGCTCACTCTGGAGCAGGCC